AAGGAAACATTTTATTACATGTCGTGTACGTTAACAAGGAGAAATGAATCACTTTGGGCATGTTCCTTTCTCTGCCCCCACCGCTTGGACCTGTAGGGTAGGGTTGCAGAGGGGAGGGGGGTGGGTGGGGTTGTTGAGGCTTTTTGGCGAGTGGAACCACAACTTGATCGTCTGCAAAAGAAAGGAATCGCTTACAACACAACAGGCCAGAGGGATGTGATACACTTCTTGGCTTTGTTTATTTGTGGCGGGGAGGGCGAATTATTAATTATTATTAATAATTTTCACCTGCCGCACAGGATGCCCTCACCCGGACTGATCTTGTGATCTCTCGGGGGGCAACGGAACCTTCGCTTGTTTCCCTGAGGTTTGACGAGCTGTCGTAACCCTTCCCCCACCTGCCCCCCCACCCCCCTCTCCCCCCCCACCCCTCTCTCCCCCCCTCCACCCCCTTGACTTGCCTCTTGACTCAATTCAGTGGATCTCAACATGTCTCCAAGCACTTTGTGGGGAATCAATGTGAAGTGTAGTGACTGTGTGTGTTGTTGGTGAACGCAAGGCTGACTTGGCTTTCAAAACCCATCAAAAAAGGGGCCATAGCAACAACTGGAGCCACCCATATCTATGTGACTGCTGTGTTAGCTGATTGTCTGTAAGCAGACCAGACTGGAAGAGTATTGGGCAACTGAGCACCCCCCACCCACCCCACTCCCCACCATCGCCCCCCCTCACCCCGCCCTCGGCCTCTGGCATGTTGTTGTTACCGGCTGGCAGAGTCGGCAGATATAAAGGGAAAGGCTTTAGCTCGTTGTGTCCGCACGGCTGAGCCTCAGAACCTGTCCGTCTCCCGATCACCATCAGCCCCGCGATGAGCACCGCGTGTGACAGGCACAGTCTCCCCCTCGGAGCCCAGTCGCACGCGGACAAAGGACTGCAGGAAATGGCCGGCCCGAGGCTAATCTGGAATGTGCGGGCTCAGGACATTCTGCGCTCGGCAGCCAGGAAGCTGAGCGGCGTTCCGGGGAAAACACGGGCCTTCTGAAGCCCGATGACCTCCTCCCCATTGTACAGGGGATTTAGGTGACAAAAGGAGTTTGTCTGCGAGCAAGCAGACTGGAAGAGGATTGCAGACGGAGAATTAAATACATCGGGCCTTGTTAACATTAATCCAATAGTTCAATGCATCCACTCAACACAACTCAACGCAACACAACTCAACACAACACAGCTCAACACAACACAACTCAACACAACGTAGCTCAACACAACGCAACACAACTCAACACAACACAGCTCAACACAACTCAACACAGCTCAACACAACACAACTCAGCACAACACAACTCAATACAACTTAACACAACTCAACACAACTCAATAGAACACAACTCAATTATAACACAACTCAATACAACTCAACACAACACAACTCAACACAACACAGCTCAACACAACTCAACACAACTCAACACAACACAACTCAGCACAACACAACTCAATACAACACAACACAACTCAATACAACTTAACACAACTCAACACAACTCAATAGAACACAACTCAATTATAACACAACTCAATACAACTCAACACAACACAACTCAATACAACACAACTCAATACAGCTCAACACAACTCAACACAACACAACTCAATACAACACAATACAACTCAATACAACTTAACTCAACACAACACAACACAACTCAATTCAACACAACTCAACACAACACAGCTCAACACAACTCAATACAACAAACAACACAGTTCAACACAAGACAACTCAACACAACACAACTCAACTCAGCTCAACATAACTCAATGCAACACAACTCAAACAACATAGCTCAACGCAACATAACACAATACAACATAACACAACTCAATACAACACAACACAGCTCAACACAACACAGCTCAACACAACTCAACACAATTCAAACAACACAGCTCAACACAACACAGCTCAACATAACACAACGCAACATAACACAACTCAATACAACACAACACAGCTCAACACAACACAAGTCAGCACAACTCAATACAATACAACACAACACTGCTGGCTAGAGACCAGCTGAGCTATTTTCCCACTTGCAAACAAAACAACAACTTGCATTTATATAGCGTTCCTCACTCAGGGAACCATCCCAGAGTGCTTAAGGCAGGAAAATAAGACACAAGTGCCACATATGTACATGTGGAACAGGCTCCCTCGGGAGAGAGACGGTGGAAGCAGAAAGTGTTGATTCTTTCAAGAACAAATGAAATAGATTTCTGTTGGGAAATAATATCTGGGGCTAATACAGAGTATAGTCTGGGACCCGACATGTCAAGCGACTGCCAGGATAGTGGCAGGTGAACTGGATGACCTTGGTCTTCTTTTGTCTAGCAAATTCTCATATTCTTACGCTGATGGGGGTGGGGGTGGTTTGGGGGGAGGCAGATTGTGCCTAGAAACTCCCAAGGGAATGGGAACAGGAATTGAGAGGAAATCCATGGGACTGGGAGGGAGAGACGGCGGGACTGCCAGGACATGGTTTATTTATTATTTACACATCTATGTTCCTCTCCATCACATTCCTGCATTCCTCGCTGCTGTCTCACCTCTGGCCCAGAGTCAGGGCAGCCTTTGGGTTGTTGGGAGGGTTGGGGTATATGTTGAGCACCTTCCTCCGCTCTTGTCCTGTGAGGTTGGTGGGGAAGGGGCTCTGCTAACAACCATCTCCAACTTGAAGCCCAAATGGTCTTCATTGTCAGACGAGGTGGTATCTCAAGTGCCACAGAGGGAATGTTTGCTCCAAGCAGCACCACCACCCCCACCCCAGTGCCCCCTCCCTCGCTCGCCTAACTTTACTGCACCTTCCAATTGGGCTCTTCACAATCTGGGGGGGGTGGGTGGTGGAAATGAGGGGGCCAGGGGTAGAGGACAATCCACTGTATTTTGGATTCAAGGTTCCCAAACCTTTCCACGGAGTTGTAACCTAATCCGGACAGAATTAATTGCTATCAACATCTCCATTCTTGTAGTGTGTGACAACCAGGATGGTAGAAGGCTAATTAGTTGAACTTTAGTCTTTTTTGGTCTAGCAATGTTCCTGTGTGTCTGGGCTGGGCCGGGCCGGGCTGTGGCCTTGCTCCAGCTGCTTTACTGTAAAGCTGGTTGGCCTCACTTTAGTTGCGGTTGGTGGGTTTATACAGGAACAAACAGCGGTGAAGGTAAACAGCTCACACACACTGCCTAGACATGTAATTCTGTCCATCTCTCTCCATCATTCCTGCCTGGGAGATCGCTCCCAATATCCTCATAAGGCAACGCAGGAGATGGTGGGAAAGCAAAATGCCAGAGAGTGAGGTAAACTCTCCCAACCAATATTTACATTTCTCCTTTTGTCGCTTGCCAATAATTTCTCTCTCTCTCTTTCTCTCCCTCATTACCTCCTCCCCCGATGGTGGGGAGGAGGAGGGGTGGGGGGGGGGGGGGTTGTGGTCACTGGAGGCAATTACCCCCTATGCCAGAGTGATCAGGTGACTGGCCCAGAGTTGGATTGAGTATCTCTGACCTGCCTGGCTCTGAGTGGCTCAGATCCACTCTGGATTCAGTGCGGACACTATTCCCCTGAGCAGTGGAGCAGACTGGTTTATTTCAGGAGTGAATCTCTCTATATTTACACCGTTATCCGGAGTAAACTGAGCTGGGAGTCTGGCTCTGGGCTCCATTGAGTCATTGCAGCTATAAAGATGTCCTCTATTTATAATGAATTGACACAAGAGATGTGTGTGGGGTGGGGGGGGTTTCTTTGCCGAGGGATTTTGTGGTACAAATTGCACATGGTCACATGTTCACTAATAATAATAATAATGAATAGACAGGGAGACAGCCCCCCCGCTATAACAAGCTCCTGTGGGTACCATATCTCAGAGGAGGCTCGAAAAATGGCTGACTTGCGGGTTCTCTGACATCTGTTCCTGTGCGCTGCCTATTCTTGAACCAGGTCTTGATTTTGAAGTAGTTTTTCCGGTGGTTTGAGAGGAATTTGAGGGCAATGTGTCATAGTTTTCCTGCGTGTGACAGTGTGACCCACATCTTGTCACACAGTTGTGTTGAAGATAAACGTTGATTACATCCTCGTCAGAGGCTTTCAAGTTCAGAGACATCTTATCTTACTCTCTCCCCCATCCCCCACCACCCCCATTGAAGACAGGAACAAGAGAAGGCCAGTCAGTCCATCCAGCCTGTTCCACCAATTTATTAGATCTTGTCAGATATTTTAAACTGGTGCAGAATGTGTGGAAAATTAAATCCAGATTAATTCTGAAGACGGTGTTCCACGTTTCTTCTGGTTTCCGAATAAAACCTGGACATTAAGGATTTTACACAACTTGTCTCCATGTTACACCTGAAGATGGAGATTGTCCGACAGCCTGAGACTGAACCTGTGGCAGCTGTTCCCAGTGATGTTAGTGTTCGTGTGGATGTTAGTGTGGGTGTGTGTTAGTGTGTGGGTGTGTGTTAGTGTGTGGGTGTATGTGTGGGTGTCAGTGTAGGTATGTGTGTGTGTGTTGATGTGTGTGGGTGTGGGTGTGCACTGCCCCCTCGTGGCTCTCTTTGAGATATTCTTCACAAGTTGCTGATTCACAAGATTGGTTTGGATGAAAATCCTTTACACAACACGATACAGTTTAGATTTACACACCGCCTTCTACATCGGGAGCACAAGGGTGGGATTTTTTGGTACTTGGGGAATTTGACACACGTGGAAACCCTTAAAAGCCTCCAAACCAGACCGAGAATTCCATGTAAATCACCAACACATTCAAATTCCCGAGTCTGGGTTGAGCTGTCTGTCTTTTGGGGATTGATATTCTTGATTTTGGGGTATTTGTTGGGTTCACGTTATCACGGTCATGTGTGTGTGACTATGTGTGTGTATATGTGTATGTATAGTGCCGTGTCTCTGCTGTCCTCACTCCTTGTGTATGTTCTCTGTGTGCAGGGACAGCCCGGAGCGGTTGGGAAGCAGGGAAGGAGTGGATCCCCCGGCTTTCCCGGGCCCCAGGGGCCCCTGGGCTCCAAGGGTGAGAAAGGCAGCCCCGGGATGGCAGGTACCTCCGGTATCAAAGGGGAGAAGGTGAGGCGCAGCCCACATGGGAACACTCATACCTGCGCTGCTTACACACTCAGTGTTACACACTCACACAGTTGTATTCTGTGACTTTCCCGCTTTGACCAATGTGTCCGTTGTTTCAGGGCCCAATCGGTGTGCCAGGATTTGTTGGTCTGAATGGCATTCCAGTAAGTAAACTGCTACATTCACACTCTCGCACACTCACAGCCTCATACTCCTGCACACTTACACACACTCACAGCCTCATACTCCTGCACACTTACACACACTCACAGCCTCATACTCCTGCACACTTACACACACTCACAGCCTCATACTCCTGCACACTTACACACACTCACAGCCTCATACTCCTGCACACTTACACACACTCACAGCCTCATACTCCTGCACACTTACACACACTCACAGTCTTCTGCACACTCACACATTCCCACTGTGAATTTCTGATCACATTGGATCGAGGTCTGGGGCTGAGTGCAGTGGCAGGTAATGAGCAGAAGGTGGCGCTGCAGTACTGAGTAAAGCAGACGAATGCGGTGCATTGGGCGCCCTCCGGTGGCTATAACAGGTATTGCAGTCACCAATGTAACCTTTGCTTTCATCACATGGGATAATAATAATAATTCCTGACATTTGATAAAGTGCTTCACAGAATATACTGTAAAGTGTAAAGTGTAGTGACTGTATATTTTGTGGGTAAAACATGGCAGCCAAATGCGCACAGCAATGTCCCACAAACAGCCGTGGATTCAGTGACAAATTATTATTTAAAGGATTATAATAACAATCCTGACATTTGATTTGGGTAAAACATGGCAGCCAAATGCGCACAGCAATGTCCCACAAACAGCCGTGGATTCAGGGACAAATTATTATTTAAAGGATTATAATAACAATCCTGACATTTGATTTGGTGCCTTTCACATCGGGATGGCGGGAGGTGCGGGGGTGCGGGGGGGGCGGGGGGGGGGGGGGAGGTGGGGGAGGGGAACGGGTGGGAAGGAAACGGGGGGAGGGGAACGGGGGGGGAATGTCTCAAATCACTTCACAGGATTTTTTATTGTAAAGTGGAGTAACCAGTGGTCAATGCGGAGATGAACCCCATCGTAACCACATACCCTCCGAGCTACACAAGCGAGTCAGTCCGGGCTCCGCTGACCCGCATCTCTTTTATTTCAGGGGCACCCGGGTGGTCAGGGCCCTCGAGGTCGCCCAGGTCTGGACGGCTGTAATGGCACGAGGGGAGAGCCTGGTTTCCCCTCCACGGGACGACCCGGGAACCCCGGATTCCAAGTACGGAGAGTGGATTTTGTTTGTTCGGGGATTTAGTGTTAATGGGAGGATGTCGGGCTATTGTAATTCTTGCAATTGATAATAATAATCCTGGCATTTGATACAGCGCCTTATCATGTCTTCGAGACGTCTCAAAGCGCTTCACAGAATATACTGTAAAGTGTAGTGACTGTGTATTTTGGGGAGCGAAACGCGGCAGCCAATTGGGCACATTATGGGGTATTGTGAGGGTGTTCTGGATGTTAGGGGTTTTGTTTGGGGGGAAGTTATTCAGAGCTCTCAGTGTTAATGATCTTCCTCGTTCTCTGTCCCCCTCCCACCCCCCAACCCCCCACCCCCACCCCCCACATACATGCAGGGGCTTCCCGGCCTGAAAGGTGCTAAAGGAGAACCCTCCTTGGTGTCTGGAGGGCAAGGGGGCTACAGGGTGAGAATCCAGGATGTCTGAGCTGTGTCTGGGGTGGGTGGGTGTCTGTCTGTCTGTGTGTGTCTGTCTGTCTGTGTGTGTGTGTGTCTGTCTGTGTGTGTGTGTCTGTGTGTCTGTCTGTGTGTGTCTGTGTGTGTGTGTCTGTGTGTGTGTGTGTCTGTGTGTGTGTGTGTCTGTGTGTCTGTGTGTTGTCTGTCTGTGTGTGTGTGTCTGTGTGTGTGTGGTCTGTGTGTGTGTGTGTCTGTGTGTGTGTGTGTGTGTCTGTGTGTGTGTGTGTGTCTGTCTGTGTGTGTGTGTGTGTCTGTGTGTGTGTGTGTGTCTGTCTGTGTGTGTGTGTCTGTGTGTGTGTGTGTGTCTGTGTGTGTGTGTGTGTCTGTGTGTGTGTGTGTGTCTGTGTGTGTGTGTGTGTGTGTCTGTGTGTCTGTGTGTGTGTGTGTGTCTGTGTGTGTGTGTGTCTGTGTGTGTGTTCCTGTCTGATGTGAGTTGTTGTTTTGCAGGGTGAGCCCGGCTTGCCCGGCCTGGATGGAATTCCTGTGAGTATTATGATGATGATGATGATGATGATGATGATTCTTGGTTTTGATATAGCGCCTTATCGCGGTTTTCATAATGTCTCAAAGTATCTCAGCCAATCAGAGACCCCCGGACCCCAGACTCGGAGAGAGTTTTGTGAATGTTTAAACAGTGTTTGACACTTAGTGTAAACCCTCGTTTTTATACCCAGTTTACACGGAGTGTAGACCCGGTTTATACCTATTTTTGCTTACGACCCAGTTTGTAACCGGTTAATACTCGGTTTCCCTGGTGTTTAATACCCTGTTTATACCCGGTTTTGCGGTGTTTATATCTGGTGTTGTTACTCTCCAGGGTTCCAGAGGTTATGGCGGTTCCCGAGGGCCGATGGGCCCCAGAGGTTTGCCCGGGTTCAGTGTGAGTTTCTATCCCATTGTTGCCATTTCCCTTTCGGTGCCGTAGACAACCAGCGGCGGTGGTGGGGGGTGGGGGGGGGACACGGGTGACACATTACTAGCAAGGCCGGATCCTAACCTGCTCGTTTCCCTCTCCAGGGCCCGCCCGGACCTCCCGGACCCCCAGGGCTGAAGGTAAGTCACGTCCCTCTGGTCAGTGGGTCAGTCAGGAGCAGAGGGATGAGCCCAGGGGCCACTCTGGCTGTTCAGCTCTGCGCGTGGGATTAAGCAGTCAGGAGAGCCTCAGCCTGACTCAGCCACTCGCGCTCTCCCCTCTGCATCACAAGATTGTGGGCTTGAGCCCCACGGTGGGGGTTTTGAGCTCGCAGTCTAGGCTGGCACTCTAGCACAGCGCTGGGGGAGGGGGGAGCGTGGCATTGTGGTGCTGCCAATGTTCAGGTGATACATGACTGGTGTACATCAACAGTCACTACACTTTGAAGTCAGTAACTCATCGTAGGAAGTTCTTTGAGAGACTTTGAGGTGACAGACACAAGGGGTGTTAGTGAGTGTTGGATGCCCAGTGAGAGACTGGGTCGTGGTGTTTGGTTTCGCTGTAACTGAATGTTCCTTAAACTGTTTGTAGGGCAACAGGGGATTGGGCTTCCAAGGAGAGAAAGGAGAAAAGGTAAGAATGAGAGCGAGTGAGTGAGCGAGTGAGTGAGCGAGTGACCACCCAGCACCTCGTCAATAACTTTAGTCTCACGGGATAGACCGATACGGAGGCAAAGATCCCAATTGGAATGGAAATCCCTGGAAGAAATGGGTCGGATTCCAGGGGGGGCGAGGAAGGGAGGCTGCTGTCTGTGTCTGCTGCGGTGGGGGTGGGGGGTGGGGGTGGGAGGGTGGTGGTGACTTGAGATGCTGACAGTTGGCCTCTGTGACCTGTGATGTTGTCCTCAGGGAGAAGTGGGTCAGCCCGGCCCCCCAGGCCCACCCCCGGCCTCTGGCACCCAGGAGTTAATGCAACCGTCTCAATACCCCAAGGGCGAGCGCGGAGAGAAGGTTTGTGGCCAAATTAACGAGAGGCGTTTCCGTGGCGATTCATACATACAGGAATAATAATCCTTACATTTGATACAGTGCCTCATCACGTCTCCGAGACGTCTCAAAGCGCTTCACAAAATATACTGTAAAGTGCAGTGACTGTATATTTTGTGGGCGAAACGCAGCAGCCAATGGCGCACAGCAGTGTCCCCACAAACAGTCGTGGATTGAGTGACCACATTTTTTTTTGGAGGGATTATTACCCCCGGAAAGCGATCCGCCAATCGACTAACAACCGGGTTCCTACTCACTGCCGGTAAACATGTGTGTGGAGTAAGGAACTTGTGGGAATCTAGCCTGGATCCTCTCGCTTGGATTCAAAGTCCTCAAGTGAGGACATTCGCCTGCAAAACACACAGTCACTACACTTTACAGTAAATCCCGTGAAGCAATAGGAGTGGCGGCTCATTAAACACTTGGCTTATTGTGCTCAATGATGTGACCTGTTTGTCTGTTCTCTCCTCAGGGTGACCGAGGGTACGCTGGTACCCGAGGGGTGGACGGACTGCCCGGCTCCCCGGTAATGTTCCCCCCGCCCCCGCTCGCTCTCCCCATGTTTGTCCCCTGTGCCGAATAACCGTCCTGCGTCCGGTTGGCAAAGACGGGAAGTTGGTGGCATTGACCAACGGAATTCTTCTTCAACATTTCGGGGGGGTGGGGGAGCACACACACCCCCCATACACACAGACACACACACGCTCCACACGCGCACACCCCCCACACAAACTCCACACACACACAAACACACTCCACACACACGCCCCACACACACACTCCACACGCACACCCCCCCCACACACACACACGCTCCACACACACCCCACACACACACACACTCCACACACACCCCCCACACACACACACACACACTCCACACACACACCCCCCACACACAGACACACCCCCCACACCCCCCCCACACACAGACACACACACTCCACACACACCCCACATGCACACACACACACACCCCACACACAGACACACACACACTCCACACACACACACCCCACACACACACCCCCCATACATAGACACACACACGCACACCCCCCACACACAGACACACACACACTCCACATGCACACCCCCCACACACAGACACACACGCTCCACACACACCCCCCCCACGCACAAACGCACTCCACACACACACCTCAGTGTGGGCTGATCTCTCACTTGGACACTGGGTTATTGACGTGGGGCTGTCAGCTGTGGATGAGGACGAGTGGTGCAATATTATTAACCTTTCCTCTCCTCTCTCAGGGCCGTACAATTAGAAAGGGTGAGCTGGGAGAGAAAGGCATCCCTGGGATGCCGGGGCCTCGGGTAAGAAACGGGCTTCATAGACACGGGGTTTACTGTGCGATCGATGGGCGTGGGAATCAGATTCCAGGGAAACTCGCCCCCACTTCTATATAATAATATATAATAATCCTCGCATTTGACTCAGCCCCTCATCATGTCTTTGACACGTCTCAAAGCGCTTCACAGAATATACTGTAAAGTGTAGTGACTGTGTATTTTATGGGCGAAACGCAGCAGCCAATTGCGCACAGCAGCGTCCCCACAAACAGCTGTGGATTGAGTGGCCACATTATTTTTGGGGGGAGGGATTATTACCCCCGGAAAGCGATCCGCCGATCGACTAACAACTGGGTTCCTACTTCCTGCTGGGTAAACGGGTGTGTGGAGTGAGGAAACTCGCCCCGCCCGGGAATCGAACCCGGGTCCTCTCGCTTGCGAGGCGAGCGCGCTCACCACTACGCTACAGGACTCCTCTTTGTACGACCTGGAGACTCGGCTGTGTGTGGTTTGTCTGACGTGTGGTGGGTTCCGTTGCAGTGTCTGATTCGCTCCTTATTCTGTGTCACAGGGATATCCTGGACTGGATGGATCGCCCGGGATTCCTGGACAAAAGGTAAAATCCTCTGGAGAGACCTGTAACTCCTGGGGCTGTGTGTGAAAAGCTCATTGTGTGTGTGAGATGGTCACATCCTCAGACGAGGACAGTTGGGAGTAGGTTTGCTAAGACACTGTTTTACCAACCAAATTGTTTTCTTGTGTGAACGTTTTGAAGGGCATGAAGGGGTTTCCTGGGCCAAGTGGACGTTATGGGAACGTGGGAATGAAGGTAGGTCTCGCCTCGTGTTCCCTTTGTTGATTGGGTATTTGGTCAGAGAAGCAGAATGTCTGTGTGTAGACGTTTTTCCCCTCTCTCTGAAAAAAAACCTTTAAGAATATAATAACAATAATAATAACCCTCTCATTTGAAAAAGCGCCTTTGATGTTGAGTTGGACGTCGCATAGCGCTTCCCATGATTTTGCTGTAAAGTATAGTGACTGTGTTTTGTAGGCTTCACAATCCACGCCATGTTTAAGTGCTTACCAAGTTCTGCACAGTCTGAAATGCCACCTAAATAGGCTGAACCAGGTGGGATTTCTCCCCAATAATGCGGTTAATGGTGAGTCCAGTGGAATCCCCCTGTTATATGGACGCGGGGTAATGGATGGGATCTCAGTGGGGGGGATTGTGGTGGGGGGGAGAGTGAGAGAGAAGGAAGGTTTGGTGGGTTGACGTGAGGTGTTGTATTGTGTTTCAGGGTGACTCTGGGGATGTTGGTCTCCCTGGACCCCCCTCTTATGTAGATGAAGGCGGTGCTGTTCTTAAAGGTACAGACCAGCTAAGTGACGCACATTTGTATTCCTGTGTTGGAGTGAAGCTTATAGAAACTTGCTCATGAAAATTGTGTGTGTGTCCTGTTACCCCATGTTTGTTTTTCTGCAGCGCACTGTACAACACCTGAAACATGTGGAAGAATTATGATGATTGTATTTAGAAGTTAGAAGTTACTTCATTGTATTCAGTACAAGTGTTTGACTGTATTTAGACGTCCAGAGAATGGGTGTGTGTGAGTGAGTGAGTGTGTGTGTGAGTGAGTGTGTGTGTGTTAGTGAGTGTGAGTGTGTGTGTGTGTGTTAATGAGTATGTGTGTTAATGAGTATGTGTGTTAGTGAGTGTGTGGGTGTCTGAGTGTGTGTGAGTGTATGTGTGTGACAGTGTGTGTATGTGAGTGTGTGTGAGAGTGTGTGTGTGTGTTAGTGAGTGTGTGTGTTAGTGAGTGTGTATGTGAGTGAGTGTGTGTGTGTGAGTGTGTGCGTGTTAGTGAGTGAGTGTGCGTGAATGAGTGTGTATGAGTGAGTGAGTGCGCCTGAGTGAGTGTGTGTGTGTGAGTGAGTGTGTGTGTGTGTGAATGAGTGCCAACATTTCCATGGCAGATAATGATTCATCGCCATGATTGGAGTGACATCTTCCATAACTTGGGATGGGGGTGAGTGGGGGGATAACAGGACTGTGTGAACACCCTTTAGGTGACCTGGGGAGGGGGCTGGGATTCAGTAGTTGTGGCTACAACAGGAAACAGCTGTCAGGAAATGAGCTTTGAACCTTGACTTTTTTTTCTTTGGGGGCAGGTCCTCCAGGTTTTCCGGGCCCCCCAGGGTCTCAGGGTTTCCCAGGACCCCGAGGATCCCCAGGAGTGCCAGGGCGAACGGGATCCCCTGGCATCCCAGCCCAAATCGGAGGTAAAGTGTGTGGGTCTACGTGAGTGTGCGGGGGGGGCGGGAAATAATAGGAGCACAAGTGAGCAATCAATGGATGTCCACTTTGGGGCAAAGTGCATTGTTGTCCTTCCCTCTCAGGCCCTGGTATTAATGTGATTGATGGAGTTAGTGTGTCAGCCCGGCTCAGGCACCTCGTGGGTTCAAGCCCCCGCATCAGGATGTTGAACTCATGTAGCCTCGGCTGGGGTGGGGGGAGCTCTCCATTGCTGGAGTTGCCGTCCTTCGGATGAAGCATAAACTGAGGTCCCGTCTGTGCCTGTTCAGGTGGATCTCGCGGTGCGATTGGGAAAGAGAAGGGAGTTTCTCTCCCATTGGGTCAGGTCAGTGAACGCTCGCTGACCCGGACGTGCTGACCGGCCGTTGCCCTTTAACCCGGCCCATCATAACATGGAGTCTGATTTCATGGCAGTAACTCAGGGCTTTATTACTGTGTCTGATGTGTATGGACTTCATGAGTCCAGCGCTTGGCTGAAAAGGCAGCACCAGTTAATGTTTTGCTGGTGTCTCTCATTGGTCAGGTATGAAGGGCTTACCTGGATTCCCAGGTGTGGGAGGCCCCAAGGGTGAAAGGGGGTCTCCAGGAGGAATGGGATTCGGACAGCAAGGCCAGCCAGGATATCCAGGCTTACCGGGCCCACGGGGACCAGCAGGCCCACCGGGTTATTCAAGTAGGTACCAAATCCTGAGTGAACTGCGTGGTACTGTGTCCTTCATGTTGGGGGCTCGTTCTCAGATGGTTTGCCAATCGATGCTGCTTTTGTTTTGAATCTCAGACCAACGGCTAGATCGTTTAGGACAACCTGGGAGAGCTGGAGAACCTGGTCGCCTGGGACCCCCGGGACCCCCAGGGTTGCGAGGACCTAAAGGATTTAAAGGTGAGAGTCTAAAGGTTAAGAGGTTTTCAGTTGGATGGTTGCTTGCTTGGTTGATGGATGTATAATGAATAGAATTATACAGCACAGGAGGAGGCCATTCAGCCCATCGTGTCTGTACTGGCTCTTTGAAAAGAGTTTCCAAATCAACCCCACTCCTCCGCTCTCTCCCCATAGCCCTGCAAACTGTTCTGGGTTGTTCTGCGTTGGTTGTTTGTTGATTGGTTTGGTTAGATGGACAGTGGTGGGATGGTCAGTTTAGTTGTTGGTTGGTTGGTTAGATGGATGGTTAGTTAAGTTGTTGTGTGGTGGTTGATTGGTTGGTTGACAGATCTATTTGTGGTTTGCCACTTCCCCAACTTATTTTTCCCCAACATTTCACGTAATTCAATTCAATTCTGAGATACCAAGATGCGTAAACTGTCTCCTAAACTGAAACCAGTAGATCCCACACTTGCCAGGTCCACTCACTGGTTTGTGTGAGTCTCGTGTGAGATGTTGTCTTTGTTCCCATCTAAATGAATCCTTCCTGACTTGCATCAATAGTCAAGTCAATATTCAAGTCTAATTATTTTTGTTGGTTATTTTCTGATTGTATCACCTGAAGTTTGGTCGAGACGTCACCAGTGTAGAGGCCAAGATCCATGTTCTCTAGTTTAATCTGGTTTAAGCAGTGTGCTTTACTGGTCAGCATTCAGTTTGAAGGACAAGCTTTGTTTAATGCTGATCTGTTGCTGATTGCTTTCCTAGGTGACCCTGGTGACTGTGCATGTGGTGGGAACGTTACAGACAGAGGGAATCCAGGTATTCCTGGGAGACCGGGTATAGCAGGAAATCCTGGAATCACTGGTGCTAAAGGAAACTGTGGCGAGCCGGGTTCAGCAGGGCCTGCAGGAGTGCCAGGTCCTTCAGTGAGTGATCAGTCCTTTATAGTTGAGAATGTCTGTATCTCTTCCCTTTGCTTAGTGTGAGCGTCAGAGGGTATGGATCTCTGGCTCTCAGGCTCCAAAGACAAGTGGACCATGAGCTGTGGTTGGGCCACGGAGATCAGGAAAGTCCCAGGTTGGATCCTGGTCCATCTTAGTAGTATTGAGGGACTACTACTGTGTCTGTGCCCTCCTGGTCCTATATATTAATAATAATCTCTGCATTTGATACACACCTCATCACATCATTGAGACGTCTCAAAGCACTTCACAGAATATACTGTAAAGTGAATCGACTGTATTTTGTGGGCGAAACGTAGCAGTCAATTGCACACAGCAGTGTCCCACAAACAGTCGTGGATTGAGTGACCAAATTTTATTTAATTATTGAGGGATTATTACCCCAGAAAGCGATCCTCCAATTGATTAACAACCGGGTTCCTACTTACTGCTAGATAAACAAACACGTGTGGAGTAGGGAAACTTGCCCGGGAATTGAGCACACTAACCACTACACTACGGGACTCAACACAGAGAGAGCGAGAAATCATGTGGAGTCCTGTAGCTCAGTGGTTAGAGCACTCACTTTGCAAGCGAGAGACCCGAGTTCAATTCCAGGCAGAGGGTGAAACCTTGGGCAAGTTTCCTTACTCCACACAGAGCCTAATAATAATCCTCCAAATCCCAAAACAATAATAAATTGGTCATTTTCAATCTACGACTGTTTGTGGGACATTGCTGTGCGCAATTGGCTGCCGCGTTCGCCCACAAATATACAGTCAATTCACTTTACAGTGTGTTCTGTGAAGCGCTTTGGGACGTCCTCCCGACGTGAAAAGCGCTATATCAAATGCAAGGATTATTATTATTATCACAGGCACCTGCTCCCTTTACTCACTGGTCCATCAAGACAATCAGTAATCCAGGCAGAGAAGGAGGCACCTGGCCATTGATGATATGGGGCACAGGATAAACCAAACAAGAGGTAGAATAGGAACATATTTCTTCAAGAGCCACCCGACCCATTAGGACTTTGATTTCCAGGGTTAATAGGAGCTGAGTGAGAAGAAGCCATGTTGCCAGAGACTGCTCTGCCTTTCCAAGTCCTGTTGGCTGGTCCATCGTCATTGGTGCCTTGGAGTCTGGTAAAGCTGCCTGGCTTAGGATCCAGACTGTCAAGACTGTCACAGAGCTCAGATTCAGGATCCCATTGCCAGGCGTCTCACCTTGGAGCCAGCTCAGCCGCCAGGAGACTTCCCCTTGCCTTTCTTTCAAGGAGGACTACAGGCAGCTGTGAACGGTTGCCATAACTCTGGTGTTTTGCTGACAGGCAGTCAGAACATCTCAACTTCCAGGTTAATGGCTCGGGGTTGAGCACTGAGCCAATTGGAGCTTCCAGACTAATGGGGCCTTAGGGAGAAATATACCTGATGGCTCACAGGCCTGCAGTGAGTTAAGGCAGCACTTCCGACCGACCGCTGAAGAGCACAATGAGTAGATGCAGGTCAAAACTATTAATGCTTCACTGTTTCTTCCCATGTTCTAGGGACGCCCAGGCCAGCCAGGTGGATTAGGACCAAAAGGACAGAAGGGAGACTCCTTTGGCAGCTCAGCTAAAGGTAATAAAGCCTCGAGATTTACAGCACAGAAGAGAGGCCATTCACCCATTGTGCCTGTGTGGCTCTTTTAAAAGCAACCCTTTCAGTCCCATTTATCTGCCATCTCCCCTCCCTGTACTCCTATAGTTTTACTCTGTTTTAGGTATTCAGCTTGTTCCCTGATGCCACAATCAATACCACGGTCCTCCAGTCAGATCCAGATCAGGGCAAAAGGCAATTGGGAACTTGAGAGGTTAACCATAGAGTCACATTAGGAAACTATTCAGCACGTTGTTGGAGCTAAGATCTCCCATTGGATTTATCTGCACAAATCTTATTCCCTATTATCTTTTTAAAATTATTTTTCCTTTCATCCGATTCCCTTTAAAATGTCTGGCTTCAACCACCATTTCCGGTAAATCACCATTTGTGGTAAATTCCACAGTCTTAACAAGGCCCCCGGGCAAAACAAAAATATTTGTTCCAACCTCCCTCTTTGTTTCTTTGTTCACGTCTGCCCAAGTAACCATAGCCTCTCGTTAGCTCTGATGTCCTTCCTTGGAATTTCTCTATAAATCTTACAATCATAGAATCCTACAGCACAGAAGGAGGCCATTCGGTCCATCTCTTTGAAAGAGCTATCCATTATTCCCTCACCCCGCTCTTTCCCCATCGTACCTATCCAATTCCCTTTTGAAAGTTATTATTGAATCTGCTTCCATCACCTTTTTCGGGGCAATGGGTAATCAGTAAGCAGTGAAAAAAATCACTCTATTTAGAAGATTATTTTGAGATTGAGTTAAGGAGCTGCCAGAGACCACATTCATTCTGCCTGTCAATTAAGGGCAGATTTGCAATGTTTCGATAGAAGTCAATAAAAGACTGAATAATGAGAGAATATAATGTTATTTTTGGACAGTCAGACACACGCAGTATCCAAACCAGACTGAGAGTCCCACATACGCATGCCACCTACGCGTCGACATTGTCCTGTGTTTGGACTAGAAATGCACACTTTCTCTGTCCCTGGGGGGATGCACCCTGTTTGCCTAATTCCAGGGAGTATTAGACACAGGTTACCGAGAAACTTGGGTGTACCTGCTGGAGTTTAAACCACACAGCTTGGCCACTGAGAACACTGTCTGGCAAGCTTTCCTGCTGCTTGTCCAGCTATGACCACTCTACCTGTTAGGGCTTTGGCTGCAGGGTTAACAGGAGCTGAGGGGGAGGATTCCCTGACCCCAGTGACTGGTCAGCCCTTCCAGGTCCTGCTGATGAGCCCGGCCGGGCTGTGCTGTCATCAGTAGTGAGTGCCCTGGGATACTGCAGACCTGCCTGGCTCAGGAACTGGACTAGAGACTGTGACAGGGGGGCGGGGGGGCTTGACTCTGATGTTCTGTTGCCAAACATGTCACCGTGGGGCATCCTTACTCCCCTCAGCCCCCCCATCATAAAGAAGCTGAAGTCCCAAGCTTCGGCGACTGAAATAACAAACCGTGTTACTCTCAACACCCAACTGGTGCTAATCATGTTGCTGATATGTCCTGTTTTCGTTTTGAAGGCAGTAAAGGGGACCGCGGCAATCCAGGGGCGAGAGGCCCTTCAGGAATTCCAGGAAAGCTGCGTAGAGATGGTTTACCAGGTCCACCTGGGCGGCCAGGGTTGCCTGTAAGTATTGCCCGGATCTAGGCTGAGCGATGCCTGCAATGGAAAAGGGCTGGGACATGGGCAACACTCTTTCTCTCCTTACAGAACCCTCTCTTTATAACGTTTTACATCTCAAAGAGCTTCAAAGGTAATTACTGGCAAGTGTAGTGACTTTGTTTTTGTAGGCAGTGGTGGCAGGCGGTTTACACCCAGTCAAAGGTCCCAGCTTTGCCTGGGATTTGAGAAGATCTTGGAGCGGGATGAAGAGCAAGGGGTGGTTGTGAGGGAGGGGGTGTGGGGGAGGGGGTGTCCGACTGATGGCTGATTTTGTGATCCTCAGGGTGACAATGGCAGGGGTTTCCCGGGTGATGAAGGATTCCCGGGGGCACCTGGACCAAAGGGAAGCCGAGGTGGGGTGGGCTCTCCAGGGGCCGTGTTCCCACAGCTTGTAGGTATCCGAGGACCTCCCGGCGATCCAGGATTCGACGGAATTCCAGGGAAACCAGGATTACCTGGCACACCAGGTACAATGCACAGTGTGTGTACACATGATGTACATATTCCATCAGCTCATAACCATCTAATGACAGTGCCCACCTTTGCCTCCACTCTCTGCTCAGAGGCCAGTTTGATTGGAGGTGTTTTGGTGCTTGTGTTTATAACGAAGCTTTGCAATGAGGGTAAAATAAAAATGTTGGTGTCTCTCCTGAGATCCGTACAGCGCCATAACCCCACCATTGTGCACAATCAGAAGCCACGGTTGTGAAAGGAGTAGTGAGCGGGCTTTCCTACACCATTCAAGGTGACAGAATCTGTGTGTGTGTGTGTGTGTGTGGTCTTTCTATCTGTTAATTTCAGTATCAATGAAGCTATCTTTCCGGGTGATTTTTGCAGGTATCACACTGCCCTGTGTCATCCAGGAACCTGGGGGTTTACCAGGGTCCCCTGGCTTCCCAGGGCCACGAGGTAAGTTATTTATCTCAGTATGTGGAAGTGCTCGGATCACAGCGACCGTCAGCGATAATCCTTACGTTTGATGTGATTTTGAAACGTCTCAATAACAATTGCTATTCAGTGTAGTGACTGTGCATATCGGAGGCAAATGCAACGGCCAGTTAGCACGTCGCGATTTTTTTTATACCTGGGGGGGATTGTTGGCCAGGACACCGGAGGAGAGAGAGAGAGAAAACTCTCTTCTCTTTTCGAATAGTCCCGCGGGATCTGAACAGGACACAGACGAGTTCTCAATCATTCCCCTCCCCCACTCTGCCCGCCCGCCAAGTGCTGTGCTACAGTGTTGGCCCGACTCTGAGCTCAAGTCACGGTGTTGGGTTTGATCCACAACCTTGTGCCATCGAGGTGAGAGTCCTACCCACTGAGCCAAGCTGAATGCTCGGCACACAAATACAAGTCAGCGCAAAAGCAGAAGTGTGAACCACAGTGGCTTGAGTTACACTGCAGCGTCCAACACAAGTGCAAATAAGCACAGAATTTTGCAGTCTCCCTTCCAACACTGGCAAGCCCAGCTTCGGTGTTTCGGGGGGGGGTCACCATTTTGCGAGCTAATGATCGCTTGACTGTTATTGATTAGGGACGATTTCATCAAATCACAGATAATTTACTCTGTTGCTATGCCGAGCAAACCTCTAATTTGCATTACCCCCCCACCTCTCCTTCACTCCCCCACCTCCGCTGCCACCCTTCCCACCCCCACAGGTGAAAAAGGTCGGCCCGGCTTTCCAGGGAATCCAGGACTCCCAGGATTTGATGGACAAAAAGGACCGCGGGGATCTCCAGGCTTGTTGGGAGAATCGGGATTTCCAGGCAGGTGTTGGGAATTTGGGGAAATTCCTGCTTTGGAATCGCATGTTAACAACCTGTCAACACTGGAAACTGGCCATCAGTGGTCAGGCCTTCAGCCTCTTTGCCCCCACCCTTTGGAACTCCATCCCACCATCCCCTTGCCTCTCCCCTTGCCTCTCCCCTTGCTTGCCTCCTTCAAGGCCCATCTCAAGACCCTCCTTTTCGACCATTCCTTCGGTCACCACTCCTGCCTCTGCTCTCCCTGCCCTCCACCCCTTCCAATCCCAACCCCGTGTTTGGGTCTAAATCCCTGATAGTCCAGTGCCTTGGGACATCCTCCCAACGTGAAAGGCACCGTGTAAATTTAATTTGTTGTTTCATTCGCATTTTTCTCAGACTTGAACCGATAGCATTTGTTTTAGTATTTTGACTCAGGGCCAGAGATTATTTTTGACACGCCAATGTCCTCGTTGAAACGTCCTCAGGGTTTACTGGGCCTCCTGGTGATGTGGGGTCACCGGGTCTCCCTGGGCTGGATGGGAATGAAGGCATCCCAGGGAAAATGGGCAGTCCAGGTTATCCGGGCGAGAAAGGACCCACGGGAGAGGTGGCTGGTGCAGTACCTGGGTTTCCCGGTCAACCGGGCATCCCTGGAAGACCAGGATTGAAAGGCGCCCCAGGGGATTCTGGATATCCGGGAAATACAGGTAACAATAATCCATGACTTTTATTTTCTTCTGCGGGATTTGGAGTGACATTGGAATGACAAATGGGCCATCCTAGGGCGTAAGCGCAACTCCCCTGGTCTCAACTTCTTGTGCCCTCACCCCCTTCACCCCTCCCATCACAGAGTAGCTCCTTGTGCTGGTAGTGAGTTTCACTTTGTCGGTACACCCCAAATCTGTCAGTAACGCTCAACCAACTGATGGACGGACTGATCTTGAGGGAGAAACAGTCGGGGAGATGGGGCCAAGGAATGGGGGAGGGGTGGTGGGCTGGTCCCAAACTTGTCACCAAGATAAAGTTTCCCATTGACGAAGTGTTCCCTAAGGATCCCTGGAGGTGGTGAAGGAGCGGGATTCGAAACACTGTGGCTTTAGGAACATAGGAACAGGAGTAGGCCATTCAGCCCTTCTAGCCTGTTCCACCATTCTATTAGATCATAGTTAATATGTACCTCAACTCCAACCTCAACTTTGACCCCTTAAATGTTCCTGTTCCTTGTAGGATTTGACGGGCGGCCGGGATTCCCGGGTATAAAAGGAGAGAGGGGAATCCCGGGCTTCCCTGGCCTGCAAGGCTTGCGAGGCCCCCCGGGGGCCAGCGGGCCATTTGGTGTGCGAGGTTTCCCCGGCAACGTCGGAAGACCTGGCCAACCTGGACAACGAGGTAAGGCGTCCAACCATTTGCCTGAAGCCGAACAAGGCCCAGTTTGGGTTCAGGCTGATCTTATTACCAATCTGCTCTTGGAGGGGGGGATTTCAGGAATTCCCTGTATATGGCAGGGAACCAAGGTAGCCTTGAACAAGGGCATCTCAATAGTCAACAAATATAAATAGTTCACCTTTCATCTCTTGGGTTACTGCTCGATGGAGGATAAGATATGTTCTATGCACCATTTGAGCTGTAAATGTCAAGATGTATCATAATTTTATTGAAAATAATGAACAATGTTGAATCCAAACCATCTGTTTCTTGTCAAGTGTTACTCTGTGGGCTTTGTGAAAGAATGAGCTCACTGAGAGATCTCTAAACCGTGCTGCCCGTTCAGTTATCGTCATGTTTTAGCACTGAGTACCTACCCCAGACCTCTATCTAATGGAGTTTTTAAATATCACAGTCTTGACCGCACACAGAAGGAGGCTGATTTGGCCCATGGTGTCCATGTTGGTGCCAGCTCCCCCTCTGGAGCTATTCACTCTAATACCATGTCACCCTCCCTGCTATTAACACCCCCTTTAAATCTTGTTCCTCTTTAAAGTGGTTATCCAGTTCCCTTTGACATGTTGTTGCGGATTTGGCCATTTGTGATACAAGATTCCAGGAATAGCTTTCAAATGGATATTAAGATCCTGACCTTGTTGTGTTCCCTTGGAATTTTCTTCCCCTATTTATCCCCTGTTGTAAGACTCCTTGTTAGGATGCATTAGTTCCTCAGTAAGAGACAGACTGAGCAAGCCGAGGAGAGCTATAAATACAGCTCTGAGACACTGGGCTTCATGTGAGGCGAGCAGCGAGGATGCTAGTCTTTCAGCAGCTGTTTGGGAAGAAGTCTGGCACTCACACAGTTGAGATGAATGACAGAAAATGGAGAGCCATCTCACAGGTAGCGGAGGAGCTCTGCTAAATGACCTTCAGCCTAGAAACACTTTGACCCCGGCTGGAATGAATCCCTTGCCGTTTGGCTCTGAAGCTTTGGTTAACTTAAAGGTTCCTCTGTTTCCTCTTGTCCCAACCTTGGGAGCCAAGGACCAGGTCATGTTGATAGGAAAGTCAGGCCAACCTGTAAAATCAAACCTAACATCAACCCAACCCAAAAACATACTCCAAAGTATTTGGTTTGATAGCAAGTGGCATTAAAGAAACAACTCAATCCTTCCCAAAGTTCCAGAGTTTTCCAATGTTTCTATCAATGTCTTATTTTCACTTTATATTTCAGATTTTTTTTTCTTTCAGGACTGCTTTTCTCCCTTATCTCTCTTCCCTCATAAGCTACTCTGTGTCCACCATCCAGCCTCTTGCCATTGGGAAGAAAGGATAGACCACTCATTGAGATGATGAATCCTGCATCTCCACAGATTGGTTTTGACCAAATGTCTCCATACAAATCCCTCTTCCCCGAGGACTTCTGTTACCATGCAGTGTCACAATGACATGCACCTCCGATCTCCCATTCTGGGTAGCAGGAGCAGGCAAGCTCTCCAGACCAGTTTTCTCCACCAAACGTAACCCAACATAGCAACAAGCGATCCAGACCATCCTACAGTGTCAATCACTCTTCTTCTATCCTTCTCCTCCTCCAGGGATAGGCAGCCTTCCAGGGCTGTCTCGATCGCAGTCTTCCTGACACCTGGCAATAACAGTTCACTCGCATCCATTTTTTTTTTGGATGGAAGGTGTTTGCAATTTCTCATGTATATTTGTGGAGGGAGAGTGATGATGTTGGGGGGATGGGGAAGAGACGCGATTCTTCCATTTTTGTCTGACCTGTTCTGTTCATCTATTCACACATGTATTCTTCCATGCTTCTCTTCTATTCATCACCCACCAACTTTCCATTTCTGGTCTCAATCAACCTGGGTGCGGTTTACTGCATGCACACAGGCTGTGAAGGTGAGCGGGAGTTGTCTGTAGTGCGAAGCAAAGCAAAACCTGGCCTAACACTCCTGCTTTTTAAAGCTCTGGTCGTTGCAATACTTATCCCGCACTCTAGAGTGGAGCCTGCTTGTAAACCCTACCCCCAAACATTGCCACTTTGTGATTTGTGTTGTTTCATTATTGGTAGTTTTTGCCTTAAGCTCTCACATGTGACTGGTACCGTCTCTGTAATACACTGGAGCGGTTTGAAGACTTCAAGTGTGGCAACTCCTGAGGCTGGCAATACAGTAGAACCCAAATAGTCAAGGACAACTGAGGGAGAGAGTCTGACAGATTATAACAATCTCATCTCAGCTGTGGAATAACATGAATGAATCACCTTGCACAAGAGAAAGCTGGGAAGCCATTGATGGGGAAGAAACAGAGTGGAGAACTAGTTAGATTGTGTACAAGGTAAAAGCTCAGTGGGAAAGAACCTTCAGACCACACAGTTCTGGGATTGTGTTGGTTTCGGGGGATTGGGGTTGGTGGTGAGATAAGCAGGGTCTTCACTTTTGATAGAATCGGATGAAGTGTACAACTCACAGAGTTGAATGCACAGCAGATTATGTTGAGCAGGTACAGTGTTGGACATTTCAATGGGTGTCGACCTGTCTACAGAAATAACAGTGAAGAGACTGAATTCAATTACCAGAATATCAGTGAACAGTGAGCATTGTACGTGTTTGGGGAGTTCATGAACCTTCTTGGAGACTCAGGTATTGGATTGGCTCATTCATGGAGATCCGTCCGCCTGTGGATGCCGATTTGCATGACTTATAAAGGAGGTTACTACAAGTGCTGCTAGTGACATCTAGTGGCAGCGCCAACCTTTTCTCCCACTGGGTGGAATGGGAGTCCAGCGTGGATCCTTTCAGTAGCCTGGGTTGGGACGTTTCACACCTAGATTTAACAGTTGATGTGATGTATAACCAACAGTCAGTCTGAGGCAGGTTACTGGTCTGTGGAAGGTGCTGGACCTTCGTAATGACGATGGACCTTTACCGTGGGTGATGGTGGCTGTAGACAGGGTTCACTGTACAGTCATACCTTCTTACAACAAATGGTTAGCGTAAACCTCCTCAGAGTTCCTGATAAACATGTCTTCCGTTCTCCGGTCCGAACTGAAACTCCAGTCAAATCATAAGAGGAGTTGAGCCTTTGCCAAGATGAGCTGGTTGCCCTCCCCTCCTCCCCCCCAATTAAGAACTGCTACTTTGCTTCTCCTCCGAGTTTGTGATAACAGGGTTTGACTGTAGCTCGTTAGTTTGATTGTACATATTAACCAGCGCTTCTGTCAAAGCTCTTTTTTTCTTGTTGGTTTTGACATTTCTGGGCTACTGGAATCCACTCGTCCAAAAGTGTTCAGAGTTCTGTGAAATGGATCCAGGCAACATTTGGCCATTTGCTCAGGCCAGCCGACTGCTGTGAAAGAGCGAGTGAGACACCAGGTTGGGGACTACATCAGAGTAATATTGGCTTTGACTCCCGTTGCTAGAGGTAGTGGGGGAGTGGGGAAGGGAGGGGAAAATCACCCTATGTTGTTGCTTTAAAGATTACCACTGACCACTGCTGGGAAGTGCCTACTGAACTGGGCTGCTGGCTGCTTTTAACAAGCACTGCATCTGTGCATTAGCATTGTGTCTGAGGCACTGATGTTGACTGGAGACTGGAGAGGATCCCTCCAAAAACAATAATAAATTGGTCATTTTCAATCTACGACTGTTTGTGGGACATTGCTGTGCGCAATTGGCTGCCGCGTTCGCCCACAAATATACAGTCAATTCACTTTACAGTATATTCTGTGAAGCGCTTTGGGACGTCCTCCCGACGTGAAAAGCACTATATCAAATGCAAGGATTATTATTATTATTATTACGTGTAGTGCTGGTGAAGATTGCACTGGCTGGCTTTTCTGGCATTGTGAGGCTGTTAAAGCCTTTGCTCTCCCCCCTCCTCCCCAAACACCCTGACAGGTCTGACTCAATCAAAGGTCAAGAGATGACAGCCAAAAGAGTCATGAATTCTGGCTTGTTTATCTGACGCTCCAGCTGGCAGGAGATGAGGACACATCTGGACACCTCCTCTTGGACATGTCCCCAGCTTCCGCAGAGGGCTCTGTGATAGAGGGGGCCAACCCTACTCTACACTGCCCTTCCTTCCCCCCTCAAAATATCACCTCATAGAGGACAGAGTACAGCACAGTGTGCACAAGTGGAGTCCTGTAGCTCACGTGGAGTCCTGTAGCTCAGTGGTTAGAGGACTCGCTTTGCAAGTGAGAGACCTGAGTTCAATTCCAGGCAGAGGGCGAAACCTTGGGCAAGTTTCCTTACTCCACACAGAGCCTAATAATAATCCCTCCAAAACCAAAAACAATGATAAATTGGTCATTTTCAATCCACGACTGTTTGTGGGACATTGCTGTGCGCAATTGGCTGCCGCGTTCGCCCACAAATACAGTCAATTCACTTTACAGTGTGTTCTGTGAAGCGCTTTGGGACGTCCTCCCGACGTGAAAAGCGCTATATCAAATGCAAGGATTATTATTACCCTTCCGTCCGCTCCATATTCCCCACAGTAGGACTGCTGAGCAGAATCCAGGCAGGGCTCAGAACAGAACCTGGGGTGTGTTGACTTTAACCAGTGGCTTTGCTGAAATCAATAATTAAACAAGCTAAAGGGCTCTTCATTCAGTCTTGAGAGAAAACGACTCTCAAGGAGCCTCATGGAGGTGTGTAATGTTTAAATGGGATTGAAAAGTAAAGCCAGAACAATATTTAAGATGCACTGGGACAGAAGAACAAGAGGACCTGGGTTTAGAATTGTAAAGAGCAATTTCAGGAAGTTTTTCTTTACTCACAGGGTAATTAATGACTGTAAAGAATTGACAGGAAGGGTGGTTGAGGCCTTGAGTTAGGACTCAATTGAAAAGCAGCTTGATGCTATTACAGGGGGATGGTAGGGTGGGTTTTCTGGAGGGGATGAGATCAGATGGGCCGAAGGACCTTCTTCATCCAAACCGGCCTTGTGATCTTGTTGGAATCTTGTTAGAAATTATATCTTGGGAGGAACACTTTGACCCAAAGATCTTATACTGATGCTGTCTACTCTAATCCAAATTCCCCGCTGTTTCTCCGAACCTTTAATATTTTTTTTAAGTTGTGGTATAGAGATTGATAATGTGTGTCTTTGATTTATCATTTGACAAATCTTTTAAGGGGAAATAACAGCAAGTGCGGATAAAGAGGAGCACAGAATGCATGTTTGTTTGTTTGCACACAGTCACTTCACTCCACAAAGCACTTTGAGATGACTCAATGATGTGATAAGGCACTATATTAAATGCAAGAATTATTATTAGATAGACATATAATAGAATGATTTACAAGGGTTTGGGGAGGGGGTTAGAGGCAGGTAAATGGAACTGAATAGATTGCTTGTTCAAAGAGCACAGATATGGTGGGTTGAATGATTTTCCTCTGCGCTGTATATTTCTGTGGTTCTACTAATGACATTGGGCCTAAATGTCGATTGAGGGTTTGTCCGAGTCAAGTCCTCTTTTATCCCTGTATCCTTATGGTCGTTAAAGAACATGAGTCAAACCACAGTTGTGGCGATCAATATAGAGGCGGTGGATTTCCTCACCCTCTCATCAAAGATCATCCAGTTAAACCAACAACAAAAAAAGCATTTGTTCAAACCCTAGTTGCTTATTTTGCTTCACAGTAGTTGAACACGTATATGCCGCTTCTTGCTCTCCTCTAAGGTCCTAAGGCTGAAGAGCTGTTGTTCGATGTTGCAGGTTTCCCAGGACCGAAAGGCCGTGTTGGAGATCCAGGTCCATACGGTCCAGCTGGGACGAAGGGGATTCCAGGAATATTGGGAAACCCAGGTTTTCCTGGTTCGCCAGGAATCTCAGGCCCTTCGGGACTTCCCGGTCGCGATGGTCTGGGTTCTCAATCCGGACAGAAAGGTACACATGGTTTCCTTGAGTTCACCGTGTCGGCCATTGTTTAATAGGCGCTGGTACATGCTGCTGTTTCATGGTCAAATTAACAACATGGTGAAAAGCCATCTTCTTCCCAATGCCTCAACCGGTGGAGTGTGGAGATAGGCCAAACAGACAAGCCAAGGTCAATCTCCCATCTGTGCTCACTTGGCTCCTTCCCACCAGAGAGGTTGTTGTAGAGCTAGACTTAGCTTTGTATCCCTGCACCAAGGAGATGAGGTCTTGGTCATCCTGTATTATATTTATTTTAAGCGAGAGGTAGAAGTGGCTTTCTTTCTTTCCCTGGTATAACTGTGACCATTCTCTGACAATCACACCCGTGTCTTTCACTTCTTGACTTTGCTACAGGAGAGAAGGGCTCCGTGGGAGTTATTGGCTTCCCTGGGATGCCTGGGCCCTCAGGCCAGCCTGGCTTTGATGGACGTAAAGGAGAGCCAGGCTCCCCGGGCAGACCAGGAAGCCCAGGTTCAAGTGGCAGGAGTGGACTAAAAGGTAAGACTTGGATTAAAATCTTTGACTGCTTTCCTTCTCTCCCGTTTTCAAACCATCTTGAGCAAACTCTCTCGTTGATCGTGCCTTTGCTTCCTAAAATTCTCTGTCCCTCCTCTCCTCCCTGCTCCCTGTCGCCTCTATGATGCACTATGAGATGTTTGTAAAAGGCACCAAATAAGCGAATGTCTCAATGGCTTGGGGGAGACTGGGGTCAAAGTGAACAACAAACAGTTTGGTGAGGGTTCAAGGTGCTTATTATCTGTGACTTAACAAGTTATTTTGGACTGATCTGTTCACCATCCAAAACTTTTCCAGTCGCCCGTTGTCCAGCTCATTCTCTATCTCCCCAGTGGGTTTAACTCTCTCCTCTCCCCCAGGTGACAGAGGCGAGAACGGTCGTCCTGGTCTTTCGCCCACCCCCATCCCTCCGAACTTGTTAGGAAAGGGACAGAGAGGCCTCCCTGGCCCATCTGGGCTGAAGGGCTTTCCTGGATCTCGAGGTATTTCTCTTTTCCTACTATTCCCCGTTGGTTTCTGGCGCCTACTGCTACTGAGTTATGTTATTACCGTGAAGTCCTGTAGTTTAGTGGTTATCACGCTAGCCTCGCAAGCGAGAGGACCTGGGTTCAATTCCCGGGCGGTCCAAAACCTGAGGCAAGTTTCCTGACTCTACATGCCTGTGTTTCCCTCACATTAAGTAGAAACCCAGTTGTTAGTCGATTGGCGGATTGTTTTCAGGTTCTGGGGGGTAATAATCCCTCAAAAAAGTAATAATAATAATGATAATGTGGTATATTGTAATCCAGACACTACTGTGTGCAATTGGCTGTCGCTTTTTGCCCACAAAATATACAGTCAATTCACTTTACAGTCTATCCTGTGAAGCGCTTTGAGACAACTCAAGGACGTGATAAGGCGCTGTATCAATGCAAGGATTGTTATTGACGGCTTGGCCTGTCACATGTGAAGAATATGCTCATTCTCTGTGTGTTTCTGTGTATATTAGGTGATGTAGGTTTTCCAGGACGGCCCGGTGGCCCCGGCTTGCCAGGGCTGCCAGGACTCCCAGGACGTGGTAAAGGACTCCCAGGCAGTGGAGGGCGACCAGGCTCACCTGGAATTCCGGGATCGCCCGGACCAAAAGGCTTTCTCGGTATTCCTGGTTTCCCTGGAATGGCGGGAGCAAAGGTAGGTTCCTGTACGCTTCAAAATTCATTACTCTCCTTGATCACCCTCAGCACCTGTCAGCATCCGCGCTGGTGTCAGCCTGTTTTGGGGGAGAGAAGTAAAAACACACTGTGTCCTCGATTTGAATTTGTGTCCCGTGTCCAGGTCGCGGCTTCTCCAGAGTTAATACTGTAGCTTTTGTCTCACAGGGCAGTGATGGGTATCCAGGAAATCCCGGGACATCGGGAGAGCCCGGCCTCGCTGGCCTGAAAGGTAAAGTGCCACAGGAGAGAGACTGCTCCCCTGCCCAGACCCCCTCTCTACACCTCACTGAGCACTCACAGCACTTCAAGCCTTCTCATCTGTCCGGTTTCTTCTAATTCTGGCATTTATGGGGAATGTTTTTACTTAAACTGACTGTGTGAGGGAGCCGGAGTGACATCAGAAGAGACACGGGGAGTGACTGAGCCTGACAGTGTGATCTAATAGGGGTGAGAGCGCGCATTCCATTCCAGACAAAGGTGTGGAACTCTTCGGCTGCTTTGGACGCTGCAAACCCCAGTGATGGGTTTCCACGTGTGTCAGGCACACTGAGTCACCAAAACAAATCACTGATAGGACGAGGGGAAGGTACACTGAGACACTCCTGGTTGCTTCTGCCTTTCGTGGTGTATTTTCTGTGTCTGATCTTCACTGAAGGACAGAGTTCAGAAACCGTGCTGGACATCTCAACAACAACAGGTCTCTCCTGCTCTCCTGACCATCTATTAAATGCCTTGTTTCAGGTGATCGAGGGGATTCGAGCAGTGCTCCTGGTGCCCCAGGAGCAAAGGGAGAACCTGGGCAGCCAGGGTACCCAGGTAAGAGCTGCTAATTACAGCTTGTTCTCATTCCTGAAGTTTACACACGGCCTTGTTTTGCTTCTTGATGATTGCTTGTTTGTGTGTTTCTTCCTCCCGTGGGGGAACGTTGACCAGGACATTGGGAGAAACTCCCTTCTCTTTTCGAGTTGGTTTTAACGTGTCAGTGTTTTGCTCAGCACTGCACTACAGTGACAGCCAAGACTGTTTGCCCCTGAACCTGGGAGCTTGAACCCACTGGACTCTGACACAGAGCGAGAGCGCTACCAACTGAGCCAATGGTGGGTCCGGCTGACAATGTATACGTTTTCAGGAGGAGTATAGCAGTGGGAAGCATTGTATCACGAGGTTCCCAGCCCAGGTACAGTGTAACCCACTCCGCACCTGGTGATGCTAATCTGTGGTTGTTTTAATTGCAGGTGAGAAAGGACGCGATAGTTTTTCAGGTGACCCCGGCATCTCTGGGAGTCCCGGCATCAGTGGACTGAAAGGATTACCTGGAGATCCAGGGAGACCCGGACCACCAGGTGAGAATCCATGACACATCACTTGTAAATATACACCTGTGCGTGCACCCGCACATGTGGGTGTGTTTGTGTGCGCGTGTGTGTGTACATGCATGGTGTGCGTATGTGGTCTGTTGTATGGTGTGTGTGGGTTGGGGTGTGTGTGTGTGGGTGGGGGTGTGTGTGTGTGGGTGGGGCTGTGTGTGTGTGGGTGGGGGTGTGTGGGTGTGGGTGGGGGTGTGTGTGTGTGGGTGGGGGTGTGTGTGTGGGTGGGGGTGGGGTGTGTGGGTGGGGGTGTGTGTGGTGGGTGGGGGTGTGTGTGTGTGGGTGGGGTGGGTGGGGGTGGTGGGGGGGGTGGGGGTGTGTGTGGGTGGGTGGGGGTGTGTGTGGGTGGGTGGGGGTGTGTGTGGGTGGGTGGGGGTGTGTGTGGGTGGGTGGGGGTGTGTGTGTGTGGGTGGGTGGGGTGTGTGTGTGTGGGTGGGTGGGGGTGTGTGTGTGTGGGTGGGTGGGGGTGTGTGTGTGTGGGTGGGTGGGGTGTGTGTGTGTGGGTGCGTGGGGTGTGTGTGTGTGTGCGCGTGGGGTGTGTGTGTGTGGGTGGGTTGGGGTGTGGGTGGGTGGGTGGGTTGGGGTGTGGGTGGGTGGGTGGGTTGGGGTGTGGGTGGGTGGGTGGGTTGGGGTGTGTGTGTGGGTGGGTGGGTTGGGGTGTGTGTGTGGGTGGGTGGGTTGGGGTGTGTGTGTGTGTGTGGGTGGGTGTGGGGGTGTGTGTGTGTGTGGGTGGGTTGGGGGGTGTGTGTGTGTGGGTGGGTTGGGGGTGTGTGTGTGTGGGGGGTTGGGGGTGTGTGTGTGTGGGTGGGTTGGGGGTGTGGGTGGGTTGGGGTGTGTGGGTGGGGTGGGTTGGGGTGTGTGGGTGGGTGTGGGGGTTGGGGTGTGGGTGGGTGTGGGGGTTGGGGGGTGTGTGTAGGGGGTGGGTTGGGGCGTGTATGTGGGGCTCTCTTCCCTATTGCATCATCACAAAATCTTCAGCAAGCTCCTGTGTGACCGTCTGGTCAATGTCTTCTTGATGTCCACAGGTGGCTCTGGACGACAAGGTGAAAGTGGCAGCCCAGGTTCCCCGGGACCTGATGGACGTCCAGGGCCCCCTGGACGCACGTCTCAGTTCAGTCTCCCAGGCCCGAAAGGTAGCGACCACGTCACTCCGGCGTCTGCTTGCGATTGTCTCCCGTGGTTGTCAGGGAGAGGGTTATCCTGTGAAGCGATGCTCGGGCAGTAACAGGCACTTCTTCCTTCACTAGGTTTCTCGGGCTCGCCGGGACTGGACGGTTTGAATGGTTTACCTGGACCAAGGGGGCCACCGGGAACACCAGGTACGTGATCTCAGCGTTTCTCCATCCGCGATGACTTTACCTTGGTTAGAGGCTCTGTTTCAGGGACACGGCGCGGAGCTGCCCGGTTGTGCCGAGGGGCTCGTTTCTGTGTTTCCGTGGCATCCTGTGTTCTCAGTGTGAATTCCACAGCGTGTGTGATGGACTGGCAGATTCTCCCGGTCCCGACTTATATTAAACACAAAGCTTGTGGAAATCACGGATCCCCGTAGTGCAGGGGTTAGTGGCTCACCTGGCAAGCGAGAGACGGGGGCTAGTATGATTATTATTATAAATCATTGAGTTGGGTGTGACGGAGGGCAACACAAACACACGGGCAAATAATCCCAACAACAGATAGGACTCTGAAGATGGGCTTTGCTCCCTGGCTGGCTGGTCTTTGCTCACTAAAGGGATTTGCTCACTAAACTAAACCCCACCTTTGTTTTTTCAGGGGGACAGGGGGTGGGGGTTGTGGGGGAAGGGGATGATTTTGCCAACCTGAGATTTGTGAATCTCGCCTTGAAAATCGAAAATCGCAAATTGATTAACGTGGCGAAACCCGTTTGCCAAACAGCGTCCATGTTTGCGAGTTGAATGGCTGTTCCTCAGTGTGGTGTTTATGACTCTTTAGGCCCAGGTGAGGTCGGACGCCCGGCATCCCCAGGTACTCCAGGGCTCAAGGGTGAGCGAGGAACACCTGGCACAGGGATCGGAACACCGGGATATCCTGGAACAAAAGGACTTCGCGGAGATCCAGGTAATTTAGAGGCTTGGCCGTGAAGTCTTTAAAAAACGGTACATTGGAAACGTCCAACTGAAGAGGCATAGACAAGACCTTATAATAATAATAATCCTTGCATTTGATATAGCGCTTTTCACGTCGGGAGGATGTCCCAAAGCGCTTCACAGAACACACTGTAAAGTGAATTGACTGTATATTTGTGGGCGAACGCGGCAGCCAATTGCACACAGCAATGTCCCACAAACAGTCGTAGATTGAAAATGACCAATTTATTATTGTTTTTGGTTTTGGAGGGATTATTATTAGGCTCTGTGTGGAGTAAGGAAACTTGCCCAAGGTTTCGCCCTCTGCCTGGAATTAAACTCAGGTCAGTCGCTTGCAAAGCGAGTGCTCTAACCACTGAGCTGCAGGACTCCACCTTGGTTTAAACGTCTCCCCTGAAGGCACTGTGTTGGAGTGTCAGCTTAGGCAGTGAGCTCAAAGTCCTAACGTGAGGTTCGATCCCATAACCTTCTGTCAAAGAGGCCAACATCTGAACCAGGTGGACATCTAAAGTCTTATAAAGTTAGGGATCTGCTGATCCCCATCAGAACATGAAACTTATTGATTTAACTTGTCTGTCGAAAAGATGCACAGTTCTGAACTCTTCAGTGAAAATAAGATCGCACTTCATAGTCTCAGATCCAATGGCTGACTTTATCTCTGTTGGTCCCATCAGGTTCCTCGGGAGGATTGGGTATCCCAGGAACACCAGGGCCCCCGGGGAGCTACACAGTTTCCAATATTCCCGGGAAGTCAGGAGATGCTGGGCGACCCGGCTATGATGGTGAATTGGGTAAGATATTGGTTTCATTCCAAACATGGGCTCATTAAACAACACAGCTCAGTGGGTGTGTGGGTTGGTGCTGTGTTGGAGGATTGTGCTGATGGGGGTGGAGGGATCAGATCAGCTGAAGGAGACTGAGGGAAACGGCGTAATGTCTGTGCTGTGCCGGTGCAATGTGAGGGAGGCTTGGCGTTGGCTGGTCTAAGACGCCTGGTCTTCTCAGTGGTTTCCATTGAGCTTTAATGAATGCTCTACTCTTTGCTGTGTGGTTTACATTAACCCATCGTTGTCCTTTACCTCTTCCAGGTCTCAGAGGGCCACCAGGTCCCCCTGGGCTGCCAGGCCTGGGCACCGAGAAGGGTGATCCTGGCTCCAATGGGCTGCCTGGTGCCCCAGGATTAATAGGCGGGCGTGGGAACCCCGGACTGCAGGGTCGTCAGGGAATCCCTGGAGCTCCTGGGCTGAAGGGTGAGTGGTCAAGTGTTGGCTTTGGGCACATCCTTGCTTTATCCTTCCTGGTGAAAAGAGCCGTTTGCTCATTAGTTATTGAAGAAAAGAATTTATTTTTATTTTTCTGCTGTCCATCTCGGGGTCTCCGTGTGTGAGGTCGCAATCCACTTGTGTTTCAATCCAATTCGGAGTGAAAGTAACGGAAGTTTCCCACTCATATCTGCCCAAGTCCCATTGATCTCGTACTTTGCAAAAATCATATTCAATGTGTGGTCCCAACTGATACGACTCATGTGAGGTTTACTGTATCCCAAAGTGAGGTTTAAGTAATCCTCAATCTGGTTCTGTCTGTCTTCACCGTGCAGTGGGAGTGAGCTGCCAGGTATTAAGAGTTGTCTCTGTTGCTTTCTTCAGGTCAAGTTGGAGATTCAAACATCAGGGGATTTCCAGGCACAGATGGACCTGTTGGTGAACAAGGTTATCCAGGCTCCAAAGGCGAGCCTGGCGCCCAAGGTATGTAACGTGTTATGACAATACACGCCTTATACAAATGTAATTTATTGTTGTTATAACCACTACACTGTGGGACTGGTAGTGGTTAGCGCTTGGCTCACCTCTCGTCTCCGAGAGGACCTAGATTTGATTCTCGGGCAGGGTGAAACTTCAGACAAGTTTCCCTACTCCCCTCACTTTTTATCCAGCAGTAAGTAGGAACCCGGTTGTTAGTCGATTGGCAGAGAGCTTTCTGGGGATAAAAATCCTTTCCCCCCAAAATAATAATTTGGTCACTCAATCCACGACTGTTTATGGGACACTGCTGTACGCAATTGGCTGCCGCGTTTCGCCCACAAAGTACACAATCAATTCACTTTATAATATCCTGTGGAGTCCTGTAGCTCAGTGGTTAGAGCACTCGCTTTGCAAGTGAGAGACCTGAGTTCAATTCCAGGCAGAGGGCGAAACCTTGGGCAAGTTTCTTTACTCCACACAGAGCCTAATAATAATCCCTTCAAAAACTAAAAACAATAATTAATTGGTCATTTTCAATCTACGACTGTTTGTGGGACATTGCTGTGCGCCATTGGCTGCCGCGTTCGCCCACAAATATACAGTCAATTCACTTTGCAGTATGTTCTGTGAAGCGCTTTGGGACGTCCTCCCGACGTGAAAAGCGCTATATCAAATGCAAGGATTATTATTATTATTATTATTATAACAACAACAAGATTCCTTTATTGAGCGCCTTTCACGTCGGGAGGACGTCCCAAGGCGCTGTACAGTTGGGTCAGGACCCGAGCAGGGGGGAAATGGTCAGGGTGAGGGGAGGGGAGGGAGCGAGGAGGGGGGAAATGGTCAGGGTGAGGGGAGGGAAGGGAGGGAGCGAGGAGGGTGTAGAGAGTCGAGAGGGGCATCTCAACAATATGATAAAGCGCTGTATCAAATATAAGAATTATTATTATTATATTGTATTTTGTGTGCGGATTGATGTTGGATTGTGTATGAGCTCCTGTATAACCTGTGAACCTTTACACTTCACTCAGGCTTCCCTGGATCTCCAGGTCTCCCTGGAAAACCAGCAGATGTGTTAATACTCACCCCACCATTAGGTCTTCTTGGACCACCAGGCTTCGATGGCTCCCCAGGGGAAATCGGAGAGTCAGGGCGACCTGGAAGCCCTGGACTCCCAGGTGAGTAAACTGGGACATTTGGTCATCATTGTCGGAAAATATGGTTCGGTAGATTTTAACCGAATGGCCAAACATGGAACCAATCCAAAGTGTCAGCCAATTAGGCATTGGATTGAGTTTCACGTTTACCACAGAACTGGGGAAGCCACGAAAAGGGATAAGACAACCTCCGTTTAAGATGCTTTCCACTCTATAACGGACCTTTCTGAGATATTGCTGAGGAGGCTCCCATGCCCTGTGCTGTAGTGAAGCCTGATATCCCACAACCAGAGCAGCTGGGATATCCTTGACCTTCTGGCCAATAATCTTAGCAACGGGAATAAACACGCAAAGCCAACTGCCTGATTCACAGAACCGTAGACATTTAAGCGCAGAAGGAGGCCATTCGGTCCTGAAAGTCCACATCGACTCTCAGAGCAAGCTGTCCTCTCAAGCCCACACCCTATCCTCATATACCTTCAAACCTCTCACTTACATATTCCGCTGAATCCGCCACTAATAGTGTTAGTTTGTCTCTTTTTTTCTTGTGGTTCAAGGCATCAAAGGCCAACCAGGAAGACCTGGCAATGTGGGCAGCAATGGTTTTCCTGGTCCTGTGGGTGTTCGAGGAGATCCAGGTCCAAAGGGCTATCCTGGAGCCAATGGCTTTGAAGGTGAGGGGAATTTGCCAATCCTTTCTTCCTGTTGGTAACACGTCATGACTGTGCAACTTTATTATAAAGCTCTCTCTGCTCTCCCACTCCTGTCTCCTCTCCTCTCTCCTCTTCCCGCTCTCCTCTCTACTCTCCGCTTTTAATCCACTGCTCGTTCACCAAGGTTCCAAGAGACTCCCTGGGATGTTTGTAACCTCGTTATTCCATTCCTCTCCTCAGGGAACCGTGGAAACTCAGGCTCCCCAGGAATGCCGGGAATACCAGCTCGCAGTGTGAGTGTTGGCTACACACTAGTGAAGCACAGCCAATCCGAACAAGTGCCGATCTGCCCACAGGGAATGAACAGATTGTGGGAAGGCTTCAGCTTGCTGTTTGTGGAGGGACAGGAGAAGGCACACAACCAGGATCTAGGTGACTGTCACCACATCTGCCATTCAGCTCAGAGAGATCTTATAGAGAGTCAATAATAAATAATAATAATAATTCTTGCATTTGATAAAACGCCTTATCACATCTTCTAGATGTCTCAAAGCGCTTCACAGAATATACTGTAAAGTGAATTGACTGTATACTTGTGGGTGAAACACGGCAGCCAATTGCGCACAGCAGCGGCCCACAAACAGTCGTGGATTGAGTGATCAAATTATTACTATTTTCTTGAGGGATTATTATCTCCGGAAAAGTGATCCACCAATCGACTAACAACTGGGTTCCTACTTACTGCTAGGTAACAGAGCCGTGTGGAGTAAGGAAACTTGCCTGAGGTTTCACTCCGCCCAGGAATCAAACCCAGGTCCTCTTGCTTGCGAGGCGAGCGCTCTAACCACTAATCTACAGGACTCCATGTGCCAGCCCCGACCTCCGTTAATAATTTCCATTTCCCACAAACGGTTCCCTCTACGTATCTCTGAGGCAGATTGCCAATGTGTGGCCAAATTGGAGGTGTGGGTCTGATGTCACCAAGAGCGAGAGTATGACTGTTTCCTCACCCCCAGCAGAGGGAGAGGGGGAAGAGAGAGAGAAAGAGAGACTTTCATCCCATTAGGTCGTCCTGGGCTCAGAAAGGTCCCAGTTCCCCAGAGGTGAAAGAACAGTAGTACTAATCAATTCCACAAGCTCTTCCCTCCCTAAGTGTAGCTCGCAAGTATTTTGAAGTGGACGGCGGAACCAATTCCAAATTCCCAACGTCAAACTTTATTTTTCACTCGCCTGAAATGTGCCAAGTATCGTGTGTGTGTGTGGGTGAGAGGTCACAGCTGTTAGCTGCCCTGAGTGACAGAATTGCCTAGAGATGTAATTGGCTCCAAAGGCTTCCTGCATTTCTTATCTTCTCTTTTTTCCCCCCCTCCACCATAAAAGCTTTTCATATCACAAAACTGCCCAAATCGTCAATGTGACAACCAAGGCGCTGGGTCAATGAGGATCAATGATCAATATGGAAGAGTAAAGATGAAGGTTTGGGGTAGAGTTTGGAGCTGTTAGTTTGAGGAGCTTCAGTTGTTTCCCCCCTCTCCACCCCTCAGTCCTATCTGTTCAGTATTGCTCTGGCAACCACGCTCCCCATTCCCCCAGTGCCTGTAATAACCTCTGGTCTCTGTCTTCCCACCACCACAGGAATGGCTGGCTCCTGCCTGCCCCGCTTCACCACCATGCCGTTCCTCTACTGCAACATCAACGAGCTGTGCTACTACGCGAGCAGGAACGACAAGTCCTATTGGCTTTCAACCACGGCGCCCATCCCCATGATGCCGGTGTCCAACATCCAGATCAGACCGTACATCAGCCGCTGCTCAGTGTGTGAGGCCCCATCACAAGCTGTGGCTGTGCACAGCCAGGACATCACCATCCCACAATGCCCTAATGGCTGGCGGAGTCTCTGGATAGGTTACTCCTTCCTCATGGTAAGCCACAGTATCACCAGAGGGTGGTGGGATTGGTGGGGGCTGGGGTTGGCTTGTGTCTGCTCAGATCTTTCCCCCCCTCCCAATTTTCTCTCCTGGAACCAAGTGTTGACTTGATAGAGGAGTTCTTGTAGAGGGTGTCACAGGTGGGGCTGAGGCCCTCCCACACTCATGCCCTTGCCCGACTCTCGGACATGAGCTAGTGATCGGCCGCCTGTGTGTGGACGATGGTTGCAGACAGGATCAGGCTGCTTGTAATGCCTCTTGTCCTCTGTTCCTCTGTGTTACAGCACACGGCGGCGGGTCCCGAGGGGGGAGGACAGTCGCTGGTGTCGCCGGGATCGTGTCTGGAGGATTTCCGGGCCACGCCCTTCATCGAGTGCAACGGCCCCCGGGGAACCTGCCACTTCTTTGCCAACAAGTACAGCTTCTGGCTGACCATCGTGGAGTACAACCAGCAGTTCGCACAGTCTCCCCCCTCGGAGACCCTGAAAGCAGGACAGCTCCGCACTCGGGTTAGCCGTTGCCAAGTGTGTATGAAGAACTTGTAGCCCAAACCCTGTTTCCCCGGCACCTTCACACGTGACTTTTTTTTTTACCCCCCCCGCCCCCCTCGTTCACCTCTTTCCCCAGATGTATTAGGCAGTGAAGCAGGTGGTAAAACCACAGTGTTGTGTTGCATGGTCTCTGGCTTAACAAACTTTGTATATTAGGAGAAAATGTTTCTTTTGTTTTAAAAGATTGTATAAAATTGCTAGGATGCCGTTCTCACAGTTATATTGAAGCCGTGTTTTTATCCTGCGTAAGTAGTATATATACAATCAGCTGGGGACCAGGCGGGGCGCAGTATTTGCTGGGCCTTGTCCTGTCCACTTTGGTACAGTTTGTTTTCAGGAGCACTTTAACACTGCTCACTGGTTTGGTGCTATGCCCTAGCGAGAGAGCGAGCGGGTAGAAAGGTGCACAGTCTGTGTCTGGAGGCAGCTGTCTGTGATATAACAGGGGGCAATGGTTAAGGTGCTGTAGAGCTGAAGATTTCTGGTTACCCCAGATCTGATGCCTTCCTCTCCCCCGCCCCCCTCCCACCTCCCCTCTCCCGTTCACATCCCTTCTCTCCCCCCTTCTCCCTCCCTCACTCATTCACTCACTGCATTAAGGTGTAATTTTCATTCACTGATGGACATTTGAGAGTCTATTGATTGATGTTTTGTTCTAAGTCCACTATTGCAGTCGCGTTGACCTCAGCCTCTTTTGATAGCTTTGTGGCCAACTTCTTGTGTTGAGTTGAGAGAGAGAGAGAGAGAGAGAGAGAAAACGTATCGAACATTAACTCAGGCAATATCTTCGAAAGTCGCTGTTGCCTTCTAAGGATACATCTCCTCAAATCATTGATGTTGACTTCACTCTATTTTGGCAATCTCCAAGGGAAAGGTGACTTTTTTTCTCCATATCGATGTATATCTCTTAACTTCTCACGAGGTGAAGGGATCGGTTTGGATAAAGTGGGAATTTCGGCCCACCTGATATCATTCCTCCTTTTTAGCGGTGCAAGAGAGCTTGACAAAATAGCCTGTCCCGAGCCCTTTCACGCGCTCTCTCTCTCTCTCTCTCTAGTTTGTAAGTCAGAGCTGAGAACGAGGATAGGGGATGGTGCGTGTGTGTGCGTACATGGTCATTAGGAAGAACATTCCAGAATCGACGCCCCCATTGTTCATCAAAGGTGCTTTTTTTTTCCCCCTTTAAAATCACGGCTACCTCAAAAAGTGGAGTCATTGCCCTACATTTATTTCAGTTTCAGAGCCAGTCAAAGTTATCCTAAAGGTCCCTAAACTTGGGTTGCAATTCACTAGGAAGCTACAATCCCTAGTCGTGTGGGATATCTATCGCCCGTGTGTGTGTCTGAGTGTGAAAAGGAAATAGTTGTGAAACACTGTGACACTTCCCACACACATTTGTGTTTTCAATTGGTGCTATTTTGTCCTCGTTCACCTGCATGGTTAGGGGTTCGTAACCTCCCGTGGATTTGAACCCAATCTTTCTTTTATCCTGAACTTTTTTGGGGATGGAGTTTGGCTTCTAGAACAGCACGGAACTGCGCACTTTTCCATTTCCCCGTGTTCGAAACCCTTCCCTCAGCAACTCAGCGTGATGTTACAGGAACATAGGAACAGGAGGAGGCCATTCAGTCCCTTGAGCCTGTTCTGCCATTCTGTTAAGACCATGGCTGATCTGTACCTCAAATCCAATTACCTGCAATTGCCCCATATCCTTTGATACCCTGACCTAACAAATATCTATCCACCTCTGCCTCGGGGGTGTGGGGAGGACGGGATTATTTACATGTATGTTTCCTTATTCCTTGCTTATTGATTGCTTTTGAATGCACCCATTGTCGTGTGTGTATCTGGGATTTCTCTCCTGCTCTACAATAGTAAATACTGCAATTCCAAATCTGTATTCTCGTGTGAAATCCATTAATGGGCAGCAACATACATCTGGGCAGTCAGGTTAGCACGAGGGGCGGTGTTGAATGATTTCAGGAACAACCTGGTGCTATGAGGATCGATGGGATGGTGGGTATTCTGGAAGGATTGAGATCAAAGAGTTTCTTCTTTCAGTCTTGTGAAACTTGATTGAGTGCCTACAATAGTACAAATCTTAGAACCAGCACAAACCACTGTAGCTGGTAAACTGGTAAACCCACTTTACTGAGCAGTAAAATATCAGTAGAGTTATTCTCATAAAATTTTAACCAGATTGAATGGTGTCAGCTTTGTAGTTAAACTGTGTTTGGTACGACTGATATTTCACATGTTGAGAAATTGCAAACTGTGTAAATTGAAACAAAGAACTACTGAGGGGGGGGTGGGGGGGTGAGTGGGGGGGTTGGGGGTGAGTGGGGATGGGGAAGGCCAGTTGAGTTGTTTTGTTTTATGTTTAAAGAGATGTAATGTTTTCAGAGGCATTGGTGGTGCAAAATATATAGAGTGACGAGGAGTAAATGAAGTGTCGCGTTAAAACAGTTCTATTATTTTGCTGGATATAAAATTGTTATTTGCAAGAATAAGTCACACTAAGGACCCATGTGGGTTAATAACAAGCTGTGGGGTTGTCACCAAGAGGCTGAAAGAACAACGACGACAACTTGCATTTACATAGCGCCCTTCATGTGGGGTAGCGGCTGTTCGCCCACAAAACACACAGTCACTACACTTTACAGGATATTCTGTGAAGCACTTTAAGACGTCTCGAAGACGTGATCAGGCGCTGTATCAACCGCAAGGATTATTTTGCAGAGTACAAGATACTTTGATAATCAAAGACTGTTCCCTCGTCAGGTTAAACAGACGTTTGTTAAAATCCTCCCACTCCCAATCTCTGATCTGAGCAGCTGATAGTTCCTGTCACCGCAGGGTAAGGGGCAGTGAGAGTGAGACCTGGTGCCGATACAGGGACTGTGCTTCTGTGTTATCAATTTCTATGGTTTCCGTGCGGGCAAAATAACTGAGGCAGACAGCGACATAGGGGTACGACTCCACTCGTTCATTTCTGACAGTATTGATGACTCCTTTGGTAGCTAATGTCCTGTTGTAGATAAATATAAATACCTCTGTGTTTGTCATTGGGGTGAAATAGAGCCCGGATTCTTAACCATCTTCACCCATGTGTATTTTTGGGGATGGGCCGGTTTTAAAGGTGGGGGAAGGCTGAGAGGTGGTGGGAGGGGGAAGCAGTAGGGAAACTCTTTTCCATTTGTATGTCACAAATGTTGGATGTATATCGCTGTGATGTTTGGTTTGGGTGCACACAGTGCCTTCCCCCAATATGATGACACACTCCTTTTCTATCGATCTGCATTTCTCTTAGTTAATAAGCAAAAGCTGTAGAGTCTGGGTCATTATCCCACCTACCCACCCTCTCCCCACCCCCCCCACCTCCCCACCCATCCCCCACTCCCTCTGCCATGCTGGGGAGTGTACGTGGTAGGACAGGCCATTGCTCTGATCTGAAGCCCCCCGTGCCTGTCTGCCTCACTGTCCTGGCTCACTCTTTACCCGAGTGGGAGCCAGTCAGTCTCCATGGAACCATAGGCCATAGTGTACTGTATTTCGTCCGAGGAGAAAGAGAGAGAGAAAAAAATAAGGTTGTGTCTTGCGTGTTGCACTGAAAGTGTATTTTACACATCTATGTTACAAGACTTAGTCAGTGTGGCCCTCTGTGAAAAACAGTGATCCATTTTATTCAATTGTATGAACTAATCACTGTGTTTCCCTCCAGTGTAGTGACTGTGAGGAGAACTGAATAACCTGTCTGTATTAGGTTTGAAAAATCTAACTTGAAAAATAAATAATTCAACATGTTTGTGGCTTGAATCATTCTCTTCATAATAATAAATTTTATCAAAAACCTTTGCATTTGATAAAACGCCTTTTGCCTCCAAAGCACAACTCAAAGTGCTTCACGGTATTTTGCTGTGAAGTGTAATGACTGTGTGTTTTGTGGGCAAACTGGCAGTTGGCTTGCCCTGTAGCTGGGAACGGAATCCGACAGAATGCAGAAAGCAGAAAACAACTTGCATTTATACAGCGGTCCTCACAAGGGGCACTTAACAGTCTGATGCTGAGCTAAGCCAGGGGGAGAGGTGACCACAAGCACGGTTGAAGAGGAAGGTCTTTGTGATCAAAGAGGGAAACCCCAAAAGAAAACCAAAAGAAGCAGATCTATGGCAATGAGAGAGGCAATGCCCTGAACCAAACCCAGTCCCCAATAGCAAGAACATTAAACAAATGTTCTGGTGGTTGACTACAATTGGTCGATGCCAAGAACATAAATGCCAATTTCTTGTCTTGCCTTGTCCAGCCAGCCTTGCTCGTGATCACTTTGGGATATCACTGAAATGCACTGCTTTACATTTGTGCCAGTAACTAAACTGCCACAAATGTAAAGCAGATTGGAATAATGTCCAGGTTTGTTGACATTAGGCGTTCAGAGGAAATAGATGCACTTCAATCCTCGGTCCTTTACAGAGTCTGTTTGCAATGTCAGCGTGGCTCACGTCAATTCATGGCAAAGCTCTGGATCTCAGTGAATTCTACCTTTAAGATCATTGTAAAATGAACATTGAGTGAGCATTGTAATAATAATCTTTGTATTTGATACAGCACCTTATCACGGCTGCGAGACATCTCAAAGCACTTCACAGGATATACTGTCAAATGAATTGCCTGTATATTTTGTGGGCAAAACATGGCAGCCAATTGTGTCCCACAAACAGTGTGGAGTAAAGAAACTTGCCTAAAGTTTTGCCCCGCCCAGGAATCGAAACCAGGGCCTCTCACTTGCGAGGCGAATGCTCTAACCACTACATTACGGGACTACACCCGAGATTCATTTTAGATCTTCGGAACTGTTTCACGTTGAAAGCTGATCTGGATCCTGTCTCGAACACCTCACCCAACAGGGCATTCCACGTCCCAACCACTCGCTGTCTCACAAGAGTGCGGTACCAACATGGAAACAATTTCAGTCCTGCTTTCAACTTGAAGGAAAGAAAATTCTCCGCTGTTTCCTCAGGAACATACCGTGCCCAGCTATCAAGCTTTCCAAAGCCCATCCGCGCCCTCCTCATAACCTCTGTTTATTTTCCAGTGGTTGGAGCACTTAGTGTTGGAAGCAAAGTGTTCCAGATGGCTGACATTTTAACATCTGAACATCTGTCCATGAATTGGCGTTGGAGTGAGTACAAGTCACAACAGCATGTGGCCAGGCCAGATTCACTGCAGAACGAGGGTGAAGATCACTTTTCTTATTCAAGAGAGGCCGGCTGAAACTCTAGCATCTACATCTAATCTGGGACAAGGTCCCTTGCCAACTGGGAGATGGTGTAACCGCAAATGTATCCTAAAGGCTAACACAAACTTACAACTAAAGAGCTGGGAGCAAGTAAGTGAGTCGCTCAATTTCAACTTACAGTCTCTTTTGTCTGTGTTTTTCGAGGGTATTTGTGACTTTCCCCCGAGGAACACCATGTGGAGGCCAAACAGTCTTTATTGGATGTTTGGAAGCTGCTTGGTTGCTCAGCTGACCAGCCAAAGCCAAAGGGACCTTTTCTTTGTTCACAAACTCAAATCCCGCTTTGCGACACTCAGTCAGCCCGGCTTTGCTCGTCTGGTTTTGTGAAAGCCACAATTCTATCAGTTTGAAAGGCGGTTTGCTGGGAATCGCCAGGGAGACTGTTTCGACTTCATTGGTATCTGGCGTAGATATCCTGAGGACAGGCTAACCCTTTGGCACCCCTATAAACGCTGGAGTACCTCTAGTTCTCTAAATACCTCTAGTTCTCTAAATCAGAATTTTGCACGGTTTAAGATGTAACTGGAAGAAATGCTAAAAAGATGCCCTTGGAGGTATTGCCCTCAGCAAATAACTGCAGCTACTTACAGAGGGTTACATGGTTAGACCCTATGTGGATTGTAATAATTGGTTCTCTACCTGAGAAAGGGTTCCTTTAATGTACCCCTGACCCTCTCCCCCTCCCTCTAAGACCAACGGAGGTTAGAATCTGAGATGGAAAACAGTTTTGGAGGCCTAAAATGAATTGTGCAAACTTACTTCTAGAAAAACTCTTAAAGCCAGATGGATTTCTAAAGTTTCCATGTGGTTTTGAGCCAAAAAATAATGGACCTAAGGGGCAACCGGCAAAAACTGAAAGTTTGCTTACTCCACATGCCTCTGTTTACACAGCAGTAAATAGGAACCCAGTTATTAGTCGATTGGCAGACCGCTTTCTGGGGGTTCCTACTTACTGCTGGGAAAACAGGCCAGATTCACTGGCTTGCGAGGCGAGCACACTAACCATTACTCTACAGGACTCCAGATTGCCATCTCTGGAGGATAACCAACCAGGATTGAACACAGGGTTCGATTCGAACCGCAGAGTATTTTGTTTTCCCACTATCTTTCTCTCCTCCTCACACTCTTCTGACGGAGACTGGGACGAGCAGGGCTACTCAGCAGATTCTTTGTTTCAGACGAGAGAGAAATACAGCCACTTGGCACTGATGGTATGGACACAGAGGTGTTGGGTAAGGATGATCACCAGAGTAGGAGGAGGATTTGGTTGGGGGGAGGGAATAATGAGGTTTTGATGAGGTCCTGTCAGATTTACAGCCTATAAACAATGGGCCAAATGCTGTAAAAGCTTTACAATGCTTCATTACCTAATGTCAGCTTTCGAACTCTATACATGACCCCAGCACACAGCTATTTAAGGTGGAATCCTGTAGCTCTATGGTTAGAGCACTCACCTTTTAAATTAAAAAAAATAATAATTTGGTCACTTAACCCACGATTGTTTGTGGGACGCTGCTGTGTGCAACTGGCTGCTGCCTTTCGTCCACAAAATATACATTCAATTCACTTTAAAGTATATTCTTTGAAGAGCTTTGAGACGTCTCGAAGAAGTGGTAAGGCGCTGTATCAAATGCAAGGATTATTATTAATATTAAGTGATGAAATAAAATAATAATCTTTGAAAATGACCCATGGCTGTGGTCAACAGAAGCGAAAATAGAGAGAAAAATAATGCTGAGTGTCAGTAACACTTGGAGAAGTGGAATGGATGGGGCTGCATTTACAGCTCTGTACAGCTCAGTTTGACAGTGTGATGAAGTCTCGGGCCAACAACAATCTAGAGATCCAGAGTTATGAGAGTAAACTGACCCTCCTGGCAAAGGGTCTGACCTGGAGGAACTGGACGGCCAAGAAAATAGGAACTTTTATTGATTTCTTCTCACATAAAAGATACATAAAAATCCCCGGGAGGAAGAGAGAGAAAAGCTGACCTGCAGCACGAGAGGAAGGGAAACGGTGGGCAGGTGTCTGGGTTGGAGGTTAGTTATAGACCTCTCTCGGGGAGAGAGAGGGAGACATCCCCTTCTGGTTTTGAAGTGAGAGATTTTGTTGGTGCAGTAAGGGTGCTGGACTGATGTCACTTACCCGCTACAAATAGCACAGTCATTGCACTTTAGAGGAAAATCCTGCAAAGCGCTTTGAGATGTTTTGCCGATGTGGTAAGGCATTGTATCAAATACACGATTATTATTATTGATCGCTCACTAAATACACAGTCAATTCACTTTGCAGTATATTCTGTGAAGCGCTTTGAGACAGCTCAACGACGAGATGAAGAGCTGTAACAAAATACAGGCATTATTATTATTATAGCCCGTCTTTAGCGCAAACCATTCTGAGCAAATCAATCCCAAACACCTGATTCCTGAAATCGGGAAGTTTGCTGCAAGAATTGAGAGCCAGAGTCCCAATAGAAGACGTTTAAAGGTTTAATAATCATGATTGATGCATCCATCTCCTGAACCACAGCTTGTAATAACTCAGTGGGCAAACATCGAAACAGTCGTGCATTTAAAAAATATATATACAGTAGAAATAAATTACATCACAAGATTATAGAGTGTAACCGAGGACTTGACACCCTCGCACTGGCTCGTTCCCTTGACTAACAAAATCTTGACTAACATGTTTGCTCCAACAGTTACCATCAATATTCACTCGTGGCTCCACAAGGATTAACTGAAATCAGTATCAGAATAAAAATTACTGGAAATGATATATTTACAATACAGTAGACACTACAATTCACTACAATACACAAGTCAAAATGAAATGGGAGCCACAAGGGACAAGTGTGTCACTATCTGTGCCCCAATCCATTGCAAACTCCCCTTTGTATTGGCCGAATTTATCACTATTAAGTCTATAACCTTGTGATTTCCCACCCCCCAGCCCTCCTCTCCCCACTCACCACTCACCGTGCATATGGAACTCTCTCTCAGTCTGGGCTGAAGACTCTTAAGCAAGTCGATGAGATCCCGTATATGTCAGACACCAGGACTCTCACACACGCAAACACACATACACGCAATCACACACACAAACAAACATGCGCAAACACAGACCCGCGCTCTCACACACACGCACTTAAAACACACGCAAACATAGACACGTGCTCGGACGGCTCCACAGACGGGCGGATTCATTGATCTACGCAGTCAGGATACTCCAAGAGATTCCAATCTGATGGCTTACTTTCTCCCCTGGGACCTGCCAGCCCTGCGACTCAAGCCCATGATATACTTGTAGGCAGCAATTCTTAAACATGTCACGAGATGGCAGGAGGGAGTCTTACTCCTATTTGTTTCCACAATTTGCCATTTGAGCCTTGAACATCATCAGATTAAACCCAATACTTTGTCTGGTGCCCAACACATTAACCAGGTCAGCTGGAGAAAGCTGTTGGGGGGGTGGAGAACGGGAGGGGAAAGCCGTTCACCTACAAAAACACAGTCACTACACTTTACAGTGGATCCTGTGATGCGCTTTGAGATATCCTCCTGTCCCGTTCTCCCCATTCCCCTGTGCAATGTAAAAGAGCTAAATAAAACATAATAACAATGCTGGCATTTGATGCAGCGCCTTATCATGTCTTCAAGAAGTCTCAAAGCGCTTCCCAGGGTACACTGTAAAGTGAATTGACTGCAGATTTTGTGGGCGAAACGCGGCAGCCAATTGCACACAGCAGCGTCCCGCAAACAGTCGTAGATTGAGTGGCCAAATTATTATTTTTACCCCGAGGGATTATTACCCCAGGAAAACAATCCGCTAATCGACTAAGAACCAGGCTCCTATTTATTGCTAGGTAAACAGAGGTGTGTGGAGTAAGGGAACTTGCTTACGGTTTTGTCCTGCCCGAGGCGAGTGCTCTAACAACTAAACTAAAGGACACGTAATAGGTCCTGTTACTATATGTGAGAACTTCTAAAGTGAGTGTTAAATTTGAACCATATTCCCTTTGGACATCTCAGCTATATAAATGCTCTCTTTGAAGCACACACATATAAACATCACCTCCACCTCCACCCACACCCCCCACACCCTCCCCCCAACACACACAGACACACATGGACATACACATACACACACACACACACACACAGATAGACACACTTAACAATTCTTTCACTTACATCCTCACAATCCTCACACACACACACACACTCACAATGAGGCAATGTCCTGGATCAGATTAACATGGGGCCACTGTAACATGTAACAGAAGGACTGGCAGGTCTGCCATTGGTGACACACACAGTGGAGCCGGGAAGAGATTGAGCTGAACAGAACAGGGGGAATGCGGAACCCATTTACAGCACATTTTAATTCAATGCCATTCAAAGTGACTGCGAGTGAGAGTTTACTCAACTCAGCTAAAGTAAGGGAAGAAATGGCGCCCTTCTCGGTGTTTACCATCTCCAGTGTTTACCGTTCTGGCACACAGGGCACCTCACCTCGCTTAAGACACCCTCCTCCTTCCCCTCCCTCTCTCCCTCCCTCGTGGACACTTCCTCCCAGTGCTGTGCCGTCCTGAGCAACGTGCCTACAGTGACTCGTTCAGCCTCACCGCTCCGAAGAAGGTGGTGTGTCTGCTCATGTTTACCACGGTGTCCTCGTACGTCATCTTGACGGTGATCTTCTGCCTGGCCTTGAGTGGACACACCCCGGCCGTGTAGCAGGTGTTGAACTTGGACTTGCGGTTCTCCACACTGCGTGTGCACTGCAGGAACGGAGTGCGGTCAATCAGCACCTCATGGCTGGCAAAGTCAGTGAAGTTAATGTAGTAAACCTGAGCACGTCCAGTGGTGGAGGGGAGCGAGAGAGAGAGAGAGGGGATGGGGGGGACATGTCATTAGTAAAAAAAAAACATTTCAATACGGCTTTCCTTCCCTGTTCCTCTATTTTCTCCTCTTTTACAGAGGAACCAATCGTACAATCACTGCATTTGAGACAGCGCCTTATCACGCCGTTGAGACGTCTCAAAGCGCTTCACAGAGTATACTGTAAAGCGCAGTGACTGTGTATTTTGCGGGCAAAACGTGGCAGCCGATTTCACACAGCGGTGTCCCACACATAGCCGTGGAGTGAGTGGCCACATTTTGTTTTTGAGGGATTATTACTCCCAGAAAGCGATTCAATAAATCGACTAACAAGCGGGTTCCTCCTTACCACTGGTAAACAAAGGTGTGTGTGTGTGTGGAGTAAGGGAACTTGTCTAAGGTTTCGCCCCACCCGGGAATCGAACCCAAGTCCTGTCACTTGAGAGGCAGCAAATCTGTCAGTTTTTAGGTGGAGTTTCACTTAGTGAAATCTGACCTGCTGAAATCTGGGAATTGTTCATGAAAATTGACGAAAGAGAAAAAAAGTTTACTGTTTGAAGCAAATGCAATTTGTAACGTGTTGTGTGTGCTGTTGGCTTAACCTGGAGCCCTGGCTAGGTGTCTCCGGCCTAGATTTACTGACTGCTTGCCTGAACGTGGGTTGCAGCCAGCAATGGAGAGTCAACCTTCCTCTCATTCTGTAGCCAGCAACGCTATATACCTGGGGCTTTTATTGGAACCCTTAAATGAGGTGAAAATATCATATTCCATTAAAGTTGTGGAGTACAGTTTCTGGGACATCGACAGCCTGCCCCTGAAAAGCCCTTGACCTCCTGGCTCTATCGGCCACGCTCTGGCATGGATTTGCTCGCAAAATACACAGTCGCCCCCACATTTGGCCCATCACGTTGGGAAGGGGGTCTCAAAGCATTTCACATGCTCTCAGTGCAGAGTGTAGTGACTTGTGTTTTGTTGACAAACGAGGCAGCCAATACGAGTACAAGGTGCAGGCTTTGGGTGAAGAGATGAAATGCTCTGATGGACTCCACACACCGTGGATTAACAACTACATAATGTATCCTCTCTCCCTGTAATGCACTGTTGAGGCTAAGTCACAAGTCCGCATAATAGGTGGCTAGGTGTCTCTGGCCTAGACCTACTGACTGCTTGCCTGGTTGCAGCCAGCAATGGACACCTCACAGAGCACACCCTACAGATAGTTACTAATACTAACACTTTCCACATTTACCCGCCAATATAGGGACTGTAATCAGTCTGCTGTAAACCATGGCTACACACTGCAGCCTCTCCGTGGCCAGAGAGGAACCACTGCAATGTGTCAAATTAGGAATTTATTGAGCAATTCAAACTTTAATAGGAACAAGAAAACTCAACTAATTCCAATGGCCATAGATACTAAAATTCTCCTTTGTGTGAACTGGGAGTCACTGCAGAGCACACAGTTTTCTGTGACAAATTAGCTGAGCACTCACTGCAGTTTGGTCTCAGTGCCCTTCTCCGGGGCTGTGGTGGGGGGGAAAAAAAATACAGCTAATGTTCCCCAACTCTTGCTCACGGGATGGGATAAGGACAAAGCCTGCACACGTGTAAATTACATTTCTAAACCAGGGATGATTTTTTTTATAAAGCAATTATGCTTCTGAAATGTGCTGTGATCCCCAAATCACATCTGGCAGTGGCTCTGGCTGCTGTATAATTGCTGCTGTGGGCATTTCAGGAGCTAAGTAACTGTTTTCCATTTGGATCATGAATGCTATGCAACGGGAACGGATTTAATCCACTGTGGTTTTATACAAATTAGGAAAAGGACAGTAAAGGCTTGGGAGATTTTTTTGGGGGGGGGAATTTCACACAATAGGAGCAAGTGGGAAGGAGTGTGTCTGGTGCCCCTGTTTTGTTGTGTAATTATGTCCCAGTGTGGAATGAATGGAAAAGAGCTTTGGCCCTTCAGAATCCACAGTGAAGCAATGGGGTGAGGGCTGTCCACAGGCATCCGTTCCCATGGGATGTGACTGAATGGTGAACGAGTTAGTTAGTTTGGGCACATTGGCATTCTACACAAAGAGCATTCAATCACACCGCTATAACAACAATAATATATTTAATCTACGTCATTAGATTAAATAATAATATAATAATCCTTACATTTGATACAGCGCCTTATCACGTCTTCAAGACTTTCCAAAGCGCTTCACGGAATATACTGTACAATTAATTGACTGCGTATTTTGTGGGCGAAACGCAGCAGCCAATTGCACACAGCAGCGTCCCACAAACAGCTGTGGTTGACTGACTAATTATTTTATTCTTTTTTTGAAGGGATTATTACCCCCAGAAAAGCGATCGACCGTTTCTGCGCCTTCTGCACATTCTTTGTCAATCCTTGAGGGCGCAATGTGTTGCTACGTGCAGAGATGGATTCCCATCTGAACCTCTTACCAAACTGTTGGGTCATTAACACCCTGACAGACAACTCGGGTACCACATCCCCAGTAGTTAGTTTAGTCTTTACATCAAAGACCCGTACTCACTTCTACCTGACTATAGATGAAGTAGGTGCCGTCCATCAGGACCTCCAGCTCCCCGCTCCGACTGTGTAACCGGAAAACCTTGTGGTTGAGTGAAGATCGGACCCAGTCAGCCAGAACGCCACCTATGAGATCTCAGCGTGAGAAGGGCAGTCACTCAATACATGGGAAAATACTCAGCAGGTCTCTGTAACTAAAACAACATGCCACTCAAACAGTTAATGCAGCTCCGCAGGGCATTCATACGTTAAGCAACATGTCGATGGGAGCTTTACCGAACAGCATAAACCGCTGCATTTAACAAATATACACCTCCCGTCCTCCCCTTCCCTCTCCTGCCCTCCCCTCTCCTGCCCTCCCCTCTCCTGCCCTCCCCTCTCCTGCCCTCCCCTCTCCTGCCCTCCCCTCTCCTGCCCTCCCTCCACAACTGGCTTCTCTCAACAACAACAACTTGCATTTAGACAGCGCCTTTCATGCGAGGTAGAACCTTGGAGCTCTTAAACCGGAGATCTCCACACAAAGCCCTCCTCAAAGTTACCTGACCGGCCCCCTATCACAGCATCAAACTGTTTTTTAAACAAGGCCCAGTGTCCTGGCCTTAAGCGATTCCAGTTGTCAATCACCCTCTGGGTAAAGAAAACCTTCCTGGTGTCTGTCCTGAAATTGCCTCTTTGCAACTCAAAAGCCGTATCCTCTCGTTCTACAGTCTCGGGGCATCTGCCAGTAATTGTTCTGGGTTTACTTTTCCAATCCCACTTAAAATTTCATACCTTAATAAGATCCCCCTCTGAGACGTCCCCTCTCAAGACTGAAGGGCCTGACTTTGTCTAATGTTCCACAGCTCTAAACTGCGGTAATTGATGGCGTTGTGACAGGGAGTCAGTGAGAAACCTAGGCTGTAAACAGCGAAGCCAAGCTGACTGAACTCTGATGGCTCACCATAACCACCCCAAGCTTACTGGTGACTCCCTCCCTCGCTCACTCCCTCACTCGCCTGTGTGTGCCTTTACTCCAGCAATCTAATCCTGCGCAATTTGTAACTTTCTTCAATTTAACCCTTACCTTGTTTGACTTGAATGACGGAGTCGTGTCCCTGGAGGTGAACCACTGCCATCTGCTGAAAACAACCACACTTTAGACAAACTGGCAAGCGGGGAGGTGAGGAGACTCTCTTACACACAGGATATGGAATGCCCTGCCAGGAGACAGAATCCCGTCGCCTTTTCAAAAGGGAACTAGACAAACTTCTAAACAAAAATCCTGGCGGAAAGGGCAGGTAAATGGGACGGAAAGGATCGCTCTTCAAAAGAGCCAGCGCAGACACGATGGGCCGTACGGCCTCCTTCTGTACTGGATATTTCTATGGTTCTGAAGAGTGACCCGACAAACCGAGAGGTAAAATAATAATCCTGGCATTTGATACAGCGCCTTATCAGGTCTTCGAGACGTCTCAAGAGCGCTTCACGGGATATACTGTCAAATAACTTAACAGTGTAGTTTGTGAGCAAAACGCAGCAGCCAATTGTGCAAAGATCCAAAGCCTTTCCCCAAAGCTCCACCTTACATAAGATTACATGGCCTAGACAACACGGAAACAGCTGGTCTCCAGACTCTACTTACTGCTTCCCAGATCTTCCATTGCCTTCTCCCCCATATGTATGTCTAGCTGCCTCATAAATGGATCCACACTACTGTAACATCAGCCCAACTCTGAGAGGAATGATGCTTGTTCTGTTTGAACAGGAAGGTTTTTTGGGATGATCCTGGGCAAAACGCTAACAAATCCCTGACATCTGTTCCTGCACGGATCAACCATTACTCCGGTTGTTCTGCATTCTATGAATTGGATTTCTCCAGGCTGGGATTTTGTTAGCTAATCTCACCTGGCACAGCTACAGACATGTAAATCTGGGACATTTAGCATCATCAACAGACCGGCCACTAATCTACCCTGCTACTAACCAAGATAATGCTTCACCTGGGCCAAAGGCATTCCTCCTTTCAATGGCTCCCCCTTCCCGAAGCTGCTCTCAATACACCCCCTCCCCTTCCCCCCCCCCTTCATTCTCTGATGCTCTTGTCCATAGTTTCTTCTCTCCCCTCTGACATTGAAAACAACTGTCGGCAACAAAAAAAAAGGCTAACTTCCCGTGTCATTGGTTGTCACTTCCGGTGAGCAGAGCGGCCAAAAAACACAACAGCTGACGAATCCCAATTACTGATTTTTTTTTGTTAAAATATTTGTGAAGAAAAGGGCCGGACATGAGTCACTGAGCCCTCACTTACCGGGGTACGGTTGCCTCCAGCCTTCTCTGAAACACCTGCAAACAAACATTGGTTCCACAGTGAGCAAACAAGACAGAACTCGGCTGAATTACAACACATAAGAACATAAGAGTTTGCTGGCGAAAGAAGACCAAGGTCCATCTAGTTCGCCTTCCACCATCCTGGCTGTCCCCCTGACATGTCGTGTCTCACATTATATAGTGTGTTGTATCCTCCAGATATTATTTCCTAACAGAAATCTATCTCATTTGTTCTTGAAAGGATCAACACCTTCTGCTCCCACCACTCACTGAAGAATTGTTCCCCCAGATTTGTTCTGATTTTACCCCCTTTCAATCGCGGGCCGTGTCCTCTGGTTCTATAGTTCAGTACAAGATGAAACAGTTTATCATGATCTATATATCTATATCTATATTAATTAACACACAGCAACACCAACAAGTGAATTCTGAGCACCGTGATCAGCCGGGTTCCAAAGCAGACGTCCATACGTCCGTCACTCACTCACTCACGCACGCACTCACTCAACCACTCAGTCACTCAACCACAGGTAAGAAGATCAGTGCTCTCATAAATCACTTCCATTTAAAGTTGACTGTAAGTAATGGTCACTGACCTGGTGGCCCTGGTTGGCCCGGAGGTCCTGGCTGGCCGGGAGGACCTGGAGGACCAGGTGTGAACGCCGGAGTTCCTGGGATCCCGGGGATGCCGGGGATGCCTGGTGGTCCCTGAGGTCCTTGTGGGCCTGGAGGCCCCTGTGGCCCTCGTGGACCAGGAGACCCCAACCGTTTACCTGCGAAGATCAATCCAGTCCAGGTTATACAAGGTCCAACTGTCTACAGAAGAGGTCGCAGGTCACCAATGGACTTCCTCAATGACTGATGGACAAAAACATCCCCCGAAGCAGCCCCAAGCCATGGAAACTACAAGACCACGTTACTGGTCTGCAGCTAATGAATGATTTTATCTGGAGGTTTGTCGGCCCATCTCAGAATCACTCCGGCTCTCTCCCTCCCTTCCTCTTTCAAGGTCCGAATCAAGACCCACCTCTTTGATCCCACCTCTTTAGCTCATCCTCCCCTCTCCCCTCCCCACGACCCCCCAACTCCCCGGGTGCCCAGCCAGGCTTGTTCAGCAACTTGGGACCTGCTCCTGACTTGATCTGCTCCTGACCTGATGTGACAGACGTTGTGTAAATGTAAACCTTGCTTTGTGCTGTCAACTTACCCTTTCCTTTAGCTTTTCCTTTACCTGGAAAAGAAAGAGACATTTGAGGCTGCCTCAAAGTGCTTCACAGAACTTTACTGAAAAGTGTAGTGACTGTGTTGTGCAAGTGAATGCAGCAGTCAATTTGTGCACTGCGACATCCCACAAACAGCCATGAAGTGGGTGAGTGGTTTTGCAGTTGATAAATGAAAAGATATCAGAGCATTACTGGTGCCTGTTGGATCCTATGAGCCGGTGGGGGGGATGGGTTGAGTGGTGGGAGATATGTAAAATTTACTGCAATTGTTTCCAAAGGTTCTGGAGTTAATCAGATGTTGAGTGAAACATGATTAACATTCAGCACCGAACAGCAGAAGAGTCAGATAAATCAATCCTTACTGTTCTGTCCTGTTGCCAAGGCTGGAGCTGAGGAGGATGGCAGTGGTGCAGACTGAGTGAAGGCCAAGAACAACACAGCAAGTCATCATTGCTCTTGTACTTTGGCCCACAAAACATACCATCAATTCACTTTACAGCATATCCTGTGAAGCACTTTGAGGCGTCTCGAAGACGTGATAAGGCGCTACATCAAAAGCAAGGATTATTATTATTATTACTTGAGTGAACTGATTTGGGATTGGAGGGAGGGTGGGGTGGGGGGGAGGAATAACAAAAAGTAACAACTGTTCTATCTGTCGGCACTTGTGAGTCCCAGATTATTGTGATATTACCTTTTAATGTCCCTTTTGTTGGTTGATGTTCACACCAGTTGATCTTTACGTCAATACCACAGTGTTTACACATTGTCTGGTGGGTATATGCACCTACACTGCTCTGTCAGTTAGTATTATTATTATAATAATTATCCTATCTTTTTATTATCCAAAGTTAACTTGAGCATTACTCACCAATCTTCTTCCTGTTGGCTCCCACTGCAAAAGAAGTGTAAAGGTGTGAGAGGTTAGCCCAGGCTGGGTGATGAGTTGCCGTGAAGTATCAGGTGAATGTGTATTCATATCAGATCACAGGAATTGAGCCCATTTTATATCTAGGTCAGGCTGGTGTCCTGACACTCGCGGAAACCCATCACGTTGCTTAAGAGCAGCCGAACCAGACCCGAGAGCTCTGCGCATGTCATCCACACAGCGAGAATCCCGTGTCTGGGATCAAGGGTTGGAAGGGGTGGTGGGGGGGGCAGAGTGTGTGTTGTGGTCTGTGTGTGCAGGTAGCGAGGGTTGGGGCTGCTTGGGGGGATGAGGCTGTGACCTCCATATGGCTCAGGCTCGCTCCCAGCTCCCTTTAAAGATATAGCCTATGGCTACAAGCCAGACTCGAAGCGGCAGCAGCGACAGACTGACAGTGTCTGTGGACTCAACGACCTGAGTGGAAATCACCAATTGCTCTCCATCAGGCACTGAGCCCCAGGGATTAGTAATAATAACAATAATCCTCGCATTTGATACAGCGCCTCATCACGTCGTCGAGACGTCTCAAAGCGCTTCACAGGATACACTGTAAAGTGGAGTGACTGTGTATTTTGTGGGCGAAACGTGGCAGGTAATTGCGCACAGTATTGTCCCACAAATAGTCGTGGATTAAGTGACCCAAACTTTTTTTGAAGGGATCATTAACCCCAGAAAGTGATCCGCCAATCGACCAACAACTGGGTTCCTATTGACTGCCAGGTAAACAGAGTGTGGAGTAAGGAAACTCGCCTAAGGTTTTTTGCCCCAGCTGAGAATCAAACCCAGATCTCACGCTTGCGAGGCGAGCGTTAACCACTGAGCTACAGGACTCCCGAGAAGAAGAGCGAGTCCCACTAACAGTGACGGAGAGGATGGTGGGCCAGGGTCACGGGGCTGCCTGGAGATCAGCAGCAGAAAATTGCCGTTCCATTGGCCAACTTCACTCTTTATATGGCCAAAAACAGGGCACATCTGCCAGGCATTTGCTTCTAAATTGATCTGTTGCAAACATTGCTGTCGCACTTTGATCCTTGCAAAGTCTGCAATCTGTAAAGGTATTTAGCAAAATCTGGATGGAATACAGGTTCCTCCCCAATTTGTATTAGCAACTCAACACCACCACGGAAGTGAAACAGATAGTTTTCCGATGGAAACCAGATGCGTAATTTAGAAGCTATTGGTAAAAACACACCCATAAAGGGACGGTGTCTAATGGGGACATATTACACCTGGGTCTAGGTTTGCTCCATTAACCTGGTATTTTTACAGAGCCTGCGATCTGCCGAGTGCTTCAATAAGTAGCTTAATTTTCAAGCCAGGTTCAAGCCCCCCACAACGGGAATTGGAATCACATCGTCTAAGCTGACGCTCCAATGCAGTGTTGGGGTGTGTTGCATTGTCGGCGGTGCTGCCCTTCTGATGAGACGTTAAACCAAGGTCCCATCTGCCTGTTCAGGTGGATGTTAAAGATCTTATGGCACCTTTGCCTCAGTACTTTTAAAAGGGAATCAGATAGATAATAATATACTAATAATCCTTGCATTTGATACAACGCCTTATTACGCCGTTGAGACGTCTCAAAGCGCTTCACAGAATCTACTGTAAACTGTAGTGACTGTGTATTTTGTGTAAAAGAGCGTTGAAGCATTCTGAGATGTAGCCTATGTGAAGAGCACTATATAAATGTACGTTGTCGTTGTTGTTGATGCGTCTCCAACGGGGTCCTCACTTGCCTCCCAATCCCACCCATCCCACAACCCCCCCCCACACACACACACCCTGTCCCCCCACCCCACACACCCTGCGCCACCCACCCCCACCCACAAACACCCCACCCCCACCCACACAGGCTGAGCTGCTCACTTTGTGGAAATCTCTGATCTGTTGAGTTACATTCCTGTCAATCTGCAAACTGCCTTTAGTGACATTAGCAGTGAATTTACAAATGAAAGAGATTTCAGGGGAAAGAGAACGCAGGCGTCTTCAAAGAGCTCACCCACCCCTTCGATTGAAGCCACATGCACTGCTCAATCTTCACCAGACATGCAAGGGGATATCATGCACGGCACATTATTTGGAAACTCTACTTGATTCTAATTCAAAACACTGCTCCTGACATAAATAAACACCAGAACAACCAGACTCTGCCAGCGTGTGGTGGTGGTGGGAAGGAGGAGGGTTGTGGTTCCTGTGTACGATTCAGAATTGTGAAGATTCGCTGCACGAACAGCCCTGGCCGAGTGCTCGGTGATTGATTTGGAGAGTTCAGCCACTTTCTGCAGTCAAATAGACCTTGTGTGTCTTATTGCCCCCGATCAAATCACCGGAATGTCCCAAAGCACATCGTGGGATTTCAGTGTGAAGCGTAGTGACTGTGTGTTCTGTTGGCAGAACACGGCATCCGACTTTTACGCACAGCAACATCCCTTCAAACGGGCGTGAAGCAAGTGACCGATTCTATTTGGGGGATTGCCGGCCAGGACACCGGGAGAGAGAAAGAAAGAGAGAGACTCCCTTCTCTTTTCAAGTAGAGTGACTGAGGGGATCTTTAACGTCCATCTGACAAGGGCACAGACAGGGAGCTGCACTCAGCCTCTGATCTGAGGGACGTGAAGTAATTAGCGGTGGTGGATAGATCCATTAGTATTACACTGCGGCCATCAGCTTGCATTAAACACTATTGGAACACACAGTTTAAGACAGGGCAGCTGATACACAATCATCTCCAGATGGTTCTAAATTTCTGCCTTGTTCTCCACTGCAAAGCGGGGATATTGTTACCAATATTGTTTTGTGTGGGGCCTCCCTCCCTCCCTCCCTCCCTCTCTCCCTCCCTCCTTGCCTGCATCACTCAATCAAATTCAAACAAAAACGGCTAATTTAAACTGATAAAACAGCGCTCTGGCCGCAGCTACAGAGTGAACGAGAGCCAGGCCAGCCTCCACAGTGTCGGGAACAGGTCACCGCACACAGGCTGTGAGGTGAGTAATAATGAGAATAACCCTTGCGTTTGCTATGGTGCCTCATCAAGTCATCAAGACATCTCCAAACACTTTGCAGGGTTCACTGTAAAGTGTAGCAACTGTATGTTTTGTAGGTGAAACACAGCAGCCAATTTGCACACAGCGACGTCCCCCAAACAGCTTGGCTTTTTTGAATCTCCCCGCGAGTGAACAGGTACAGAGAAGGACCTCGGTTTAATATATATTTATATATATATAAAAAATTTTAAAAAAATAGTCACTCAATCCACGGCTGTTTGTGTGCAATTGGCTGCCGTGTTTCGCCCACAGAATATACAGTCAATCCAAGTTACCATATGTGAAGGGTTTGATATAGAGCCTTCTGTGAAAGCTCCTGGGAATGCTCTATATCAACTGCAAGGATTATTATTATAATTAATATCTCATGCAGCGCTCTCCTTCAGCACTGCCCTGGAGCATCAGCCTAAACAAGGTGAGTTCCAGGCCCTGATGTTGGGGGGAGGCTTTAACCCTCCCATCTTCTAACTCGGGAGGTGAGAGCGCTACCAACTGAGCCAATCTAGAGCCTTTTAATAACTATCAAAAGATATTTCAATAGCCCAAAGCCATGCTGTGTTTATTCCAATGTCGGCTGTATCCGGTAGTAAAACCAGCAGGAATATTCTTTATTAAACAGTCAGTTTGGTTCCTAACATTGGTCTTGTTGATTGATGGCATTTCCCCTTCACCCCTCCCCAGCCCCCTCGCCAAGTCCCTTACCCCCAAGTTTCCCTTTCTGTCACACTCTCCAATTCACCCACAATATCGAACCACTGGCTCCATTGAGGAGCTGAGCCCCAGTGGTTCTCTAGTTACACACTGTCCTCTCCTCCTCACACCAGCACTACATGATACCGGGAACCACATGGGGATGAGAGAGAGAGGGAGGGAGAGAGAAAGAGAGAGGGTGGGAGATGATGAGATAAAGATGGGGGAAGAGAGAAAAAGAGAGGGGGTGGGAGTAGGTGAGAGAAAGAGATGCAGGACGGGGAGAAAAAGTGGGAAAGAGAGAGATGGTGGGAGAGGGAAAGTGAGAGATGGGGGAAGGAAGGGAAGGAGAGAGAGAGCGAGAGGAGGAGAGAAGAGAGAGTTGCCAGACGCCATGTGAACAAACATGTTGCGCATTAGGACAAAGATTTGTAATTAAAGAAAGGGGGACTTGAACATGAGAGAAAGAAAAGCACAAGACACCACAACACGCATCTGATTCAAGTCAGAAACCAACCACATTAATCCCATCTACCGGCTCTGCTAATCAGCCAGAATATCTGTTCCCTTTTTCTTCTTTGAAAGAGCCCAAGAAGTGATATCTATTTATATTAATCACAGCTTCGCTGCTTCTGGTGTCCGGCCAGGTCGTGAGCTCGACATCTAATCTCTATAATCCTCCCTTTCTCAGCAGTTTGTTTGATAGAAAGCCACACTTGGTTCCCGCGAGAGAGAGAGAGAGAGAGAGAGAGTGTGTGGGAGGGAGAGAGTGCGCACACTGGTATTTTCCACGGTACAACCAAGAACATCTATTTTGTTGTCCAACAAAAAGACTGTCCATTAACTGGCCTGGACCGTGAGCTCGAAGCCCTCAATGTGGGTCTTGAGGTTTCTTTGTGTGGAGTCCTGTAACATAGCGGTTAGAGAGCTTGCCTTGCATGCGAGAGGACCCAGGTTTGATTCCCGGGTATGGCAAAACCTTAGGCAAGTTCCTTTACTTCACACACACACACCGACACACACACCCGCCTCTGTTCACCTCTTGGTAAATAGGAACCTGGTTGGCGGATCGCTTTCCGGGAGCAATAATTCCTTCAAAAAATATTGAGGGTGCGAGAGGCTCAGGACATTGTCCTGACGAGTTTCTAAGAATCACAGACTGGGGATGGGCCTGGTTCAGTTCCCCAGCCTGTGCTCAGTGAGCCCGAGCAGCGGCACTTTAAGCCCTTTGACCTGTTCACTTGGAGCAGAGTCAAGTGTCTCGAGAATGCAGTAATGCCGATGGGTTGAATTTGCACTGACACACAGCCCAGCGCAAGCTAACAACTGATCTCAGCCAAGATAATGGGTAGGGCAGTTCTGCTGGAATGTGAAACTCTCTCTGTCGAGAGCCATTGTTAAAAGCTCACACTAATGAGCTTCAACTCCTCAAAGTCCATCAATCTTTTCTTGATGGAGAGTCGTGAAATCATACAGCGCAGAAGATTATTTGTTGGCTCTTTGAAAGAGCTACCAACTCATCCCACTCCCCCACTCCGACCCCATAGCCCTGCAAATGATTCGGACAGAAATGTGATAAACGGAAGTCTTAAAGTGGGAGGTAGTGAGTGAGGCGGATGGAGTTCCCTTGAGCAGGGCCAAAATGGTGGGGTGGTGGGGCAGATCGAGAGGAACGACAACACATACGCTTAATCGAACGCCTTCACTGCTTCTCTCCAGTGTCCACCTTGCTGTGGACGTGGGTCTCAATCAAACTCATTTCTTTCCAGTCTTTCACGACCTCCCCTTGTGCCTAACTAGCTGTGAAAACTGGTCTCTCTACCAGCACCTCCAATATGTATGTCTATAACTGCTTGGCAATGAATCCCATCTGCTCTGCTCTGTCTTGGGTACGTTCCAAGTGCTGTGTGATGACCGTCTCCTCTCTAACCTGCATGTTCTCTGGGAAAGAATGCCAGGAAACAGGACTCACTCACAAGAAAGAAAACATCACATTCTGCACAAAGTAACTCTCATAAGTGTTGTCTCAGCTCCTGTCTCACGGCTCCTGCCTTGAAGGGGCCCCATATGTTTTGCAACATTCAGTCTGTAACAAACATGCCTGAAGACATCCCGTGATCAGACATGCCGCGATCATTTTCCCACTCACTATCCATAACCCCGCAGCCCATATCCTCTCCCACACCAGCCCATCACTCCCCGACCTCGCTCGTCTCCCATTGGCGGATCGAGTTCAAGGTCCTCGTACTCAACCTAATGGGCTTTATCTGATCCCTGTAACATTCTGGGGTTATGTTGGCTGGGACTGTCAAACAAAGCACAGGGTATGTGGGTCTTTCATAGGAGGTACAATGTGCTCAATCCACCGACTCTCAATGGACAGAGATGGAAAGAGAGGAACAAGTGTCGGGGAAACAGCTGCTGTGTGGATGTGAGCGTGCGGTTCGGAGGAACGACTGAAAGATCGACAATAAAAGGAAAGAAACGACAAGTGTAACAAAGATTGTTCTCCAAAGACCTGCGGGCTCAACGTTCCTCTGGTGCCTGAGGTGGAGTGACTGTCACAGCATGCGCTTACAGTGCGTTCACACCTCGTGGTGACCGGAAGCTCATGCCCTCCACAAAGGACCAATTAGTTGTCCCGACCTTGACCTGCACCATGTCAGTCAAAACGTAGAGCTTGCACATCACCAAGTTATACATTTACTGACAAAAGTCAGAGGAGAAGTGAACAATCATAGAAACAACCCTCTCCCTCCCACCCCGTCCTTCTCCATGTCCCACCACCACAACCTCAGAGCTTGGCTGGATTGTGCCAAACTGCCCTTCACACACAGAGCCAGAATGCTGCCAATGGCGGACACTGCGATGAACGAGAGCCAGCGAGTGAGCCAGGCTGAATGGAACCGGACTCGGCTGGCGAGCCTAGCTCAGCAAGTCTCAGTGCTCCAACAAGAGAGCTCAGGGTAACGGCCCTTTCACACCAGCTACGTGTCTCATCACCACGTGGAGGCAATATGTCCTTTTCACTCTCCCAGCAAAACCAAGGACCCATTCACATGGCAGCTCTAACGACCAGGCAACTTGGGCAGGACAACTATTCAAAATAAATCCTCAGCTGAACGACGACGCTCTTAAAATTCCTGGTGCCCCCAAATGGACCGTTCACACACCCCACAATCTGCTCACTGACTGGGGGCCAGTGCCAAGGCTGGGTAAACCACTCGCCTTTTTTCCCATCAGCCGATCAATCCACTTGGTCAGGTCTTAGACCATGGGCAGCCTGTCCTTGACGTCCTTGGGTCAGTTCATTAAAAAGCAAAAGAAGCAGTTAACAAGCCAGCCAGTCGAGGGGGAGGGGCATCTGGCTCCTGGCGTCATTCGCACAATAACATTTTAATAAGCCTCCCTCCTTTAATAATAATAATCCTTGCATTTGATTTAGCGCTTTTCACGTCGGGAGGACGTCCCAAAGCGCTTCACAGAACACACTGCAAAGTGAATTGACTGTATATTTGTGGGCGAACGCGGCAGCCAATTGCGCACAGCAATGTCCCACAAACAGTCGTAGATTGAAAATGACCAATTTATTACTGTTTTTGGTTTTTTGGAGGGATTATTATTAGGCTCTGTGTGGAGTAAGGAAACTTTCCCCCCCTCTCATTGATGGAATTTTAAGAGTTTGTCCTCAGTGAATGTTGTTTGGTGTTTTAGTTTCAAACAAAATCCACCCGTACCTGTGCTCTTGCCTCGAGCCCTCTCCCCCCGAGCCCCCTTGTCTCTTTGTTCACCTCTTCCTCCTGGTTCCTCGTTTGGGCTCCTCTTCATCCGATGAATGGCCCCAGCTGGGTCCTCACTGGAGAGGACCCGAATATTGTCCTCGGTGAAGTAAGGGAACCCTGGAGCCTGAGGAAGAGAGTCAGAAGATCAGCTGAAGATGAGCTATGGTTGAGAATATGGAGTCCATTCCTGGGCACCCCATCACACAACAAACATTCGAGACGTGGGGAGTGAACAGCATCAGTTAACATAGATATTAATAATAGTAATAATACTTGCATTTGATATAGCGCCTTATCATGTCATTGAGAGCAAAGCTCTTCACATTACTGACTGTGAAGTGCGGTGACTGTGAATTTTGTGCCAATTTGTGCAAAGCAACGTCCCCACAAACAGCCATGAAGCTGATGACCCATTTTTCTTCTCTCTGGGGGATTGTCAGCTGGGGCACTGGGAGAGAGAGAGAAACTCTTTATAAATAGCGCATCAATAGGAGAAAAGTAGAGAGAAAGAGAACGAGAGAGAGAGAGAGATGGGGTTCGGGGGGAAATACTTTTGATCGTTCAAACCAGTTTGAACGAATGTGACTTCAGAGGATTATATGATCTCAGCATTTCAGAAAGTATTCTGATCTTAATCCAATCTGGAGCAACTGTAACATAAACACAGCAGATTCACTGAGTAAACACTGAGACAGAAACGCAGCTCGTGCTGGAGATGGCATTTGTTTGCATTCTCGGTGCCTTGATACCAAAACAAAGCTTAACATCCCACAGCTTCTCACGGCCAGGATCCTGAGTTACCACACGAGAGCCAAGAGCAGAGCGTGAGGGGTGGGGGAAAAGCAGCAGAGAGACACTGACCTCCCTCCCGGCTGCTCTGTCTCCTCCACCGCAAAGCCCCACCCTCCCACCCGTCTCACCCTGGCCATTCTGCTCTTCCTGGGCCTTTGGAGATGGGGGGGGCTCGAACCCTCAAGCAGCGAACCCTAGATTGCTCCATGTCCCCCATCCTGCCCGCACCACCATTGGCCTTCAATCTCTCTTCCCCCACCCTTTGGAATTACAGTCCCTTTGCCTCGCTCCCTCCCTCGTCTCCTTCAAGGCCCATCTCAAGACCCTCCTCTTCGACCGCTCCTTTGGTCACCCTCCTACCACCACCCTCCCTCCCCTCCACCCTGCCTGATCACAGCTCAGGTCCAAATTCCTGATGTGCAGTGCCTTGGGACGTCCTCTCGCCATAAAAGGCCCCGTGTAAATGTCATTTGTTGCTGCTGTTATTGTGAGAGCAACCGACTGAGCCAGGCTGACATCTATTGAGGCGGCTAGTGCCGAACTGGTTAATTTATTTTTCTGAGTCTATTATACATCTCCTGCGGGGAGGGGAGAGAGAGAAAAACATTCCTTGCGTACTTTAGCCTGGAGCTGGGTAATTTTGTCTTCATGTCCTTCAATTAGTTTCGTGCTCATAATCTAAGTTTAGTGGTTTGGAAGGGAACCAGCAATCACACTGTAAGTCTACAACAAATTCGCACGGTTTGTGAGAACCGAGGAGAGGGAACTGCAAAACCTACTCTGTGTGCTACAACAACAACTTGGATTTATATAGCGCCCTCCACACCCGGTGTCTCAGAGCGCTTCACAGTAACGGATCCCGGGGCTGAGCCAGGGGGAGGGTGGGGGGAAGGTAACCAAAGGTGCGGTCGAAAAGAAAGGTCTTCAGCAGAGACCTGAAAGTAGGAAGAGAGGGGGCGAGGCAAAGGGAGTGAGGAAGGGAGTTCCAGAGTCTCGGGGCGTAGTGGCTGAAGGCACGGCCACCGAGGGTGCAGCGGAGGACTCGGGGGACAAGGAGGAGGCCAGACCTGGAGGAATGAAGGCAATGGGCACTGTTGTGAGGAGAGAGAAGGTCAGAGAGGTTGGGGGGTGCAGAGGAGTGGAGGGATTTGCAGACAAGGGGGAGGATCTTGAAGTGGATCCTCTCTGGGACAGGAGCCAGTGCAGTCTGGCCAGGACTGGGGGGATCGGGGAGCGAAATTTGGTGTGGGTGAGAATGCGGACGGCAGAATTCTGGATGACCTGAATTTTATGGATGGTAGTAGAGGGGAGGCCGGCGAGGAGGGCGTTAGAGTTGTCCAGCCGAGAGGTGACAAAGGCATGGACCAGGGTTTCAGCGGCTTTCGGAGAGAGGTATTGGCGGAGATGGGCGATGCGTCGGAGGTGGAAGAAAGCAGTGCTGGTGAGGGACCGGATGTGGGGGAGGAAGGATAATTGGGGGTCGAACCTGACGCCTAGGGTGCTACTCCAATCATGGAGACTTGTAGCTCAATGGTTAGAGCAGTCGCCTCGCAAACGAGCGGAACCGGGTGCAATTCCCGCGCAGAGCAAAACCATACTTTCCTTACTCCACACACGCACCCACACACGCACCCACACACGCACCCACACACCCGCCTGTTTACCAGCAGTGAGTAGCAACCCAGTTTTCAGTCAACTGGGATTGCCTTTCTGGGGGTAATAATCCCTCTGACATTATTACCCCGGGTAAGGCAATTGCACTAACCACTACATTACGAGTCTATATGAGCTCCAAATCCTGACGTGGGGCTTCTGCCTCCGAGACGAGAGAGTGAGCGACAGAGTCAGGCTGTCGACAGCTTGTGTCCAGTTGTGGGGGTTGTGCTGGAGACGCGATGCTCTCATCCCCACCGCTCTCTCTGTGGGCGCGATGCCAGCCTGTCTGGCCTGCACAGTGTCTGGCAACACAACACTGAGCCGGAGGCTCGGGAGAGATGTGTGAAATTAACAGAATGTGCAGCACACGAGAGGAACGCAGGCGGGCAGATGGATTTTGCAGAGTCAGGTACACTATTAAAATCTCTGGCAAAAAAAACCTGAAGATTTTATACTCGAGAAGGATGTCCTGTTATTGGTCTCTGACCTCGGGAACGTGCTCCACACTGTGTGAGTGGGATCTCTCCCTCTGATCAGCATCAGACTTGCTCAACACTAGTCAGCACGCATTGCTGAGTGTGTACTGCCCCGCGGCTTGCCCGCCCGCCCGCCTGCCTGCCCTCAGGCCCTCGCTAGTCTGACTCGCTATCTACACAACAGAGGAACAATTCAGTTCTATCTCTTAAAACACAAGAATGTTCTGCCTCCCGTTTACCCCCTGGTTTGGGGGTAGTTGTCAGATCACTTATTTAATGTGTGGAAGTGTTAGTGGGTGGAATGGGAGGGGGGAAGACAAAGGAAAAATCCCCGGGGGGTGGGGGAGGAGGAAGAATGACTGTAAGTTAAAACTGAATGTCCAAAACTGTCGTCACACCCAAAGACCGGGTGCAGTTTTGGGCTGTGGACGGAAGCTGCTGAACTGAGAACATGCCACTGACGCGCACCATCGGAAGATAATAATCATTGATTTGACACAGCGCCTTATCCTGTCGTGGAGACGCCTCAAAGCACTTCACAGAATATTCTACCATGTGAATTGACTGCATGTTTTGTGGTCAAAACGCGGCAGCCAATTGCGCACAGCAGCAACCTACAAACAGTTGTGGATTGAGTGATCGAATTTTTTTGGTAGGAGGGATTATTAACCTGGGAAAGTGATTCACCAATCATCCAACAACCGGGTGCCTACTTACTCCGAGGTGTGTGGAGTAAGGAAACTTGCCTAAGGTTTCACTCCACCCGGAAATGGAACCCAGGTCCTTTCGCTTGCGAGGCGAGTGCTCTAACCACTGAGCTACAGGGCTCTGCGGGTGGCTTAGATGATGCATCAAAGACAAATAGCCTGAAGTGATTCTGAAGCTTGGAGCAGCACATGTGGAATAAAGTAATTCAACTTCCATCTGGCGGTCGAAAGTAGCCAAAAAAAAGCCCTGGGTTTTAGAATGCTCTGAGTTTCACCTCTGGCACCTGGGATTTAATCCAGACCAGAATCAGTGCAATCCAATCTCTACTTTCAGCTCTATTGGGGGAGATGAGGGGGAGAGAGCTCCTCCAACACTAAGTCTTGTGACATCTCCTTAGGCAGAGTGCCGGGAACGTCAAAGTGCATCTGGTCTGTATTTTGCTGGGCGGGGGTCAGGTTGGGGGAGTGCTCATAGCGGGCACTGGGGTGGGGGTGGGCGGGGGGGAGCAGAATGAGAATCCTTGCTTATATGAGCGCCAACAGTCGCTGGAAATCCATTCCAAATCAAAGCCAAAGAACATCCGGATTCCCTACAACAACACAAAATTATATTTGTATGGCGACTTTCACGTCAGGAGACAGTCCTATGTGGATAACATTTTATTTTGTGACCAGCCAGATGTCTGACACACACGGAAACCCGTCACCGTGACCACATTACAAACACCACCACAATTCAGGTGTCCGTTACCTTCCTTCGCATTAACCGCATTACACCACTGCACAGCAGATCCTGCAAATCAGGCGCTGTATCACCCGCACGGATTATGAACTCCGAATGCCGGGCGCTACAGGAGCCATGGAATGAATAGACCAGTGACTAAATACCATTTTGTCTTTTATGAGGTTGCTGCTGGCTGGCGCGAGGCACAGATGGCAGTGGGGTTGATGGATGTTCCACATAGGATTGGCAGCCTCGCCTCATCTCTTATCAGGGAAAGACTAGACGTCAGCCTGGCTCAGTTGACGATCGAGGTTTTGTCTGTGCCTGGTCAGGTAAACGTTAAGGATTCCTGCGCCGTTGTTGGAAGAGAAGGGAGTTTCTCTCTTCCCCCCACCCCCCCGCCCCCACCTGGTGTCCTGCCCAACAATCCCACTGATAAAAATCATTCACTTCACCGCTGTTTGTGAGGATGTTGCTGAGCGCGAATTGGCTGCCGCGTTCACCCACACAATTCCCGGTCACTGCACTTTATAGTGAAACCCTTGTGAAGTGCTTTCAGATGTTTGACAACGTGATAAAGCGCGGTATCAATTGCAGGGATTTTTATTATTTCTATCAAACAATAACTCAAAAGTACCAGAAAACAGATACACGTAGTTTAGAAATAAAATCAGTTTCCAACTTCAGCGGCTGCTCTCCCTCCACAGTGCAGTGTTGCACCCCACAAATAAAGGGCTGTCAAACACACTCTTTATTAGGATGAAAATCT